GAGTGCAGCTTCAGAGATTCTTCCGTGGGCTCGAAGAATGGCTTTGGTGGCGCGCCACTGAGGACCAAGCCCACCAATGATGACTGTCACGAAGGCGTCTTCAGAGATTGACCCTCCGCATCGAAGCAGCTTGTCGCGCAGTTCGCGACATCGGCTGATATACGCCAGTCCTTTTTCTCCTGGTTTCATTTCGACTGTCGTCAACTGCGCCATTAACCTGCTCTGGTTTACACTGTCTGTTGCTTGATACAGGTTCTTCAGATGGCTGTACGCGAGCTCCGCCGAGTTGCCGAAGGTCCGGTAAGAGCGAATGTTCTGCTGCTGAGTTGGTGTCACATTCCTCAATAGGATTGTATACGCCATCATTGATTGATACGTATACTGCTGCTTTTCATATTGTGTCCCGTTGGCTGGATACTGCAGGGACCCGTCGAAGAAGCCGAGTATCTGCGCGCCCTCCATCATCAGCTCGAATTCAAAGGACCAGGTAAAGAAGTCTTTGCCGTCGAAGGGTCTTGACGTTTGCAGTTTTAAGACGTGTGCAAACTGCGACTGAACTTGAAGTGCGTCCAGTGGTCTTTCTTGTCCAGGTGAAGGTTGCGGGTGGGGCACGAAGCTGATTGACCCGCGCTCGTACGGAGCAAAGGTAGGTTGCTGCTGCTGGTTTCCTCGCGCATATGACGACCCATCAAGACTCATGGGTGTCGCTCCGTTGTTGCTGTTGTGTGTTTGTGCAGGTCCCGACTGCTGGTGTTGTTCGTAGAAGGACATGAAGGAGAAAAATTTCTCCATCATGTTCTGGTCAAAGTCCGAAGGGTGGTTCATGGGGGTCTCGGTTGACGTTCCTCTTGGTCTTGTTGCCGTGCCTTCTTCTGTCTGCAGGCAAGAGGCTGACGGTGGAGTAGGAGTAGTGCCCGAGGAGCCATTAGGGGAGCTCCTTTCCTTGTTTGTTGCCATGTCTTGTAATGATATTGAAAAAGGAGTAGAGTTTCCCTTGTCTGCTCTCATACCATGTTGGGCTGAGATAGCCCCTTAGGATCTTTGCAAGGGATAACTCTAGGTGAAGTAGTTGTAACAGCGGAAGCGTTTAGTGAAGAATTTGAACCGACCTTGCACTGGTGTGTGAGAGCAAAGTTGATTGAATTAAACAAGCAAATACAAGGATTTATATAAGAGTACAAGGAATAGATAGATAACTGTATTGCTGTTGCGGTTCGATATAGCGCGACTCGGGCAACTGCTCTGTAACGAGTCAGTTGTGTGTCCTTAGCTGTCGCGCTGTAATTGTCGAGTCAAAGGTCAGCGACCTTTGACTTTCTCGTAACCTCCAGGCGGTTACCCTAACCTCCGAGGTTGACTCGATGCTTCGATTGGGACTGCTTCGCTTGGTACCTTGGATTTTGATACGACAGAAGCGCACTTAGGACTTATTGTTTCCAACACATTCATCGATCGACACTTGTGTCTTAATTCGAAAGTACCGCTCTGTACCGAACCGAACCCAAGTTTGAAATGTCTTAACAAAGTGGTTTGATTCGGTACAGAGCGGTACCTTGGGATTGAGACACAAATGTCGATCCAAGAATGTACCTTAAAGCCGGCGGCCCAAATTGTTCATGCTTTTAAAAGTTGACCAGAGGGAGTTTTTCTGGTGTGGGCTTTGGCGAGAGTTTCCGATTTCGTCTAGGTTCGTTTTTTTCGCGAGACCCAGCCAACCCTCGGTTTTCCCCCTGGTGAGTGAATCTGTCTTCGAAAGTTCCAAATTGCAAGTGCGTGACTTTCAAAAGCTTGGACACTCAACTTCGTCAAGTTTTAAAAACTTGACCCTCGCGGCCCGCAATTTGGGACGCGGGCTTTAAATTCCTAGAATCCACGGAAGATTTCTGCACACACCAGCCATACGCCAAATGTTTGTCACATGAAAAAAAAAAAAGCAAAACACGAATACAAAACACATACGTCAATGTGACCCATGACTAGAGAATAACTCGTTATTGACTCAACATAGACATTCTACATCATGGCTATCATTCAAGCACTCACATAAGCATCTAATCATTCAAGGACGAGGTGAACGTGCTTGATCGGGAAGAGATCAACCCAGTCACCGTCGCTCTGCATACGAAACGTACATAACCGTTTACAACCGCGCTAAAAAACGATTTATGAGGCGATCGATTCTCCACCTTTACCGCGTCCTAACGCAACCTTGTTTGTCGATCGCCTACGCTGACGTGGGCAGCTGGGGGAAGACGTGAAACCTTGCCCTTGGGTTTGGTTTGGGCATTGAATGGATGGAGTGAGGTAAAACGCAACAAACAAGAGAAAGTAGAGTGGTGCACACGCTAATCCAGCGGTTTGGTTCGGCACAAAAATGTAGATCTGATTGACCTTTTCTTATCTGTCGGCCGAAACTTGTCGGATCGCCTCGTGAAAATATCTGGCCGTCCAATTCTCCTCACATCCGTTCCATGACCCGTATCTTCACTTTTCTCCCAACTTCCCCTTTTGGTCCAGCAGTATCTCTCCCTACCAAACCCTGGTTCTGCCGCACCACCCACACTCAATGACTCCCTCCACTACCCATCCAACTTGATCAAACTCGCGATGGAACTCCATATTTTCGTACTTTCCAACTTCGATCCAGTTTTCTCCCTTCGTGCGGCGCCAGTTGCGTTCTCCACTCCAGCCGCGAGCTGGTTGATAGATACGTAGACCTAGATTTTTGGTTTCGTGTCTCTGCTTGTCGTGCCGATCTGCTGTGCGTTATTTAGTCGTTGAAACGAATTACAGAGGCGGGGGTGTAGCAGGGTTACGTTCGGTGATTCGCGCGCGATGGGTGTTCCAGCGTTTTACCGCTGGTTGGCGGACAAGTATCCGTTGATTATAGTGGATGTGATTGAAGAGGAGCCGCAGGTGATCGACGGCGTGACGGTGCCGGTGAACACGGTGGAAGCGAACCCTAACGGCGAGTTCGACAATCTGTACCTCGACATGAACGGCATCATTCATCCGTGCTTCCACCCCGAAGATCGCGTAAGTCCTTCTAGACGCTGTACGCCTTAACGCGTTTGAGGGGAATTCGGAACGGCGAGCCGAGAGTCTTTTTAGCGGCGAGTTCGACAATTTGTACCTCGGCATGAACGGCATTATCCACCTGTGTTTCCACCCCGAAGATCGTGTAAGTCATTCGACTGCGAGCCGTGCTCCTTTGAGAGTGAAACGGGGTCTAAGGAATTTCACTGGCGAGCCGCGAGTTTTTCTGATGACGAGCTCGATACTTAGTTTTTTGACATGAACGCCATCATCCACCCGTGCTTCCACCTGGAAGATCGTGTAAGTCCGTCGGACTTCTTAGGAGCAAACAGGGTTGGGAAGAGATTTTGAATGGCGAATGGCTTTTTTTTTTCAACTGCGGATTGGAGAATAGCTATTAGGTAGTGTGAACGACGCACGGCGAATGCCTCTAACGGCGAGCTGAACGTCTGTATTTGGTCATGAGCGGCATCATCCACCTGTGCGTTCTACCCCGACGATCGTGTAAGCCCTGGGAGACGCCTAGAGAGGTATTACGGCCGAGGGGATTTTTTATCGTCGAACCGCGAGTCCCCCTAACGGCGATCGTTTATAGGCTTGAACGGCACCACTCACCCGTGCTTCCACCCCGACGATCGTGTAAGTCGTTTGAGACGCCTTGAGAATGAACACGGTTGAGGGGAGTTTGGCCGGCGACCCGAATCTCCCTAACGGCGAGTCGCCATAATAACGGCGAGATTCTTTAACGGCAAGGCACCCTGACGGGGAGTTAATCTACTGCGAGTTACCTTAGGTGCGAGTTATCAATTTTTGCGAATTGGGCATGTGCACTTGGACATATGTGGCATTACTCTCTGCTACGTCCACGCCGGCGACTGCGCGAGTATGTTGTGGCGACCAGATAGCGATTCCGGTAGAGGATAAGCAAGTCGTTCAGTTATTCCAACTGTGTCTGTCAATCTGTGCTGTTGAACGTAGTTGTTCACTCAACGTGATAGCGTTTCGTGATGATGTTTGTGACGTTTCGTTGGGGGGTCGCGCCTGCGGGAGGAAGGTGTTACCGTGTTACCGTTCCAGGTGTCATCGAGTCCTTAGGCATGTTCCGCGTCGACTCTTGATGGGTTCTCACGTAATATCTGCAAAGGCATAAGTATGGGCATAACCAAAGAGCTCGCCATTTCACAACCTCATGGCATTACTGTACGCGCCACACGAGCCTCTGAATATTTCTAATGGCATGGCATCGCTTGTCTGTCGACCTTTGCTGCCCTCACGTTTCTTCCCCTCCTCGCACCCTCTCTGTTTGTCGACTGCATCCGTCCCTCACTCACGATCTTGCACGAGGTGTTCCAGTACATCTTCGACTGCCTAGACCTTCTCTTTTACCTGGTTCTTTCCCTCACGTCTTCTCCCCTTCCATCCTTTCGCTTCCCACACCCTTCTCTCCTGCAGTCGTCCCCCACGACCCTGCACAAGGTGCTATAGAACACCTTGATGCCTCGCTGACCTGGCTCTCGCCCCTCACAATGCCTTCCCGTCCATCCTTGCTCCCCCTGTCTTGCCTGCAGCCGTCCCCCACCACCCTGCACGAGTTGTTTCAGAACATCTTTGACTACATTGACCGCTTGTTTGACCTGGATTTTTTCCTCCCATCTCCTCCCCATCCATCCTTTCTCTTCTCCACACCCTTGTCGCATGCTGCCGTCCCGCCGCCCTGCACGAGGTGTTTCAGAACATCTTTGACTACATTGACCGCCTCTCGGCCCTGGCTCTCTTTCCTCACAAACCCCCGTCTTCTATCCTTTCCCACATTCTTGTCGCGTGCAGCCGTCCCCCACCACCCTGCACGAGGTGTTTCAGGACATCCTCGACTACACTACATTGACCGCCTCCTTGGCCTGACGCTTTCCCTCCCATCTTCTTCCTTTCATCCGTTCTCTTCCCTACAACTATCTCTCCTGCAGCCGTCCCCCACCACCCTGCACGAGGTGTTTCAGAACATCTTTGACTACATTGACCGCCTCTTCGCCATGATCCGCCCTCGCAAAGTGCTCTTCATGGGCATTGGTGGGTGTTGCCTGCTCAATTGGGGGGTATTGATGGGTGTTTTCTTCTACTCTTAAGGTCAATCCCCACTGAATCCAGCGTTATTGCTGCGGGGTGTCCTTCTAACTCAGAGAAACATTGGCGGGTGCCCCCTTCACACATCCTCACTGCCTAACCAACCATCACTGATTGTTCATTCGGTCAAGCAACCCCGGCTGTCAAGCACTGTTCCCTTATCGACTCTATTCCTGCAATCGATTCCGTCCCGCTAGTCAACGTTCGATTCAACTCAGCAGAGCACTCCCGGCTGTGCTGTGCTGATTCCTTCATTACCTTTCCCGGCGTTCTTCCTGCAGACGGTGTGGCTCCGCGAGCCAAGATGAACCAGCAGCGCTCCAGAAGATTCCGAGCAGCCAAGGACGCAGCAGACGCTGTAAGCATACACGCTATAGCCCCATAACTGCTATAGTCCCTCACCTGCTAAAGCCCCATACCAGCTATGGCCCCATACCCGTTATAGCCCCATAACCGTTATAGTCCCTTACCTGCTAAAGCCCCATACCAGCTATGGCCCCATACCCGTTATAGCCCCATAACCGCTATAGTTATCTGCTATAACCACATATTCGATATAGCCCGATCGCTGTAGCCCCTGCCATCCTCTATGTCCGTCCCTTCACTCGTGCGTGCTCCTTCCACAACAGCCCAACAAGGGGCATATAATATAAGCAGTGATTGGTGTTCTGCCCTGCCTTCCTTCTTCCTGGCACGCCCCACTTCTCCCAGATTCCCTGTGTTCTCTGGCAGTCCTAGCTGATCACCCTTTTTTTCCTCCCTGCCTGCCTTTGCACCTGCCTCCCTCCCTCCCTCCCTCCCTCCCTCCCTCCCACTCTGCCACGCAGGCAGCGTAGGAGGAGCGGCTGCGCAAGGAGTTTGAGCTGGAGGGGCGCATGTGCCGCCCAGCCCAAGGAGAAGTCAGAGACGCACGACTCCCATGCCTCCCTCCCTTCCTTCCTGCCTGCTTTCCTGCCCGTCCGCCTGCCTGCCTCCGTGCCCCCACACACAGGCAGCAGAGGAGGAGAGGCTCAGAAAGGAGCTTGAGCTGGAGGGGCGCATGGTGCCGCCCAAGGAGAAGCCGGAGACACATGACTCCAACGTCGTCACGCCCCTTGCCCCCCTCCCTTCCCCCACACAGGCAGCGGAGGAGGAGCGGCTGAGGAAGGAGTTTGAGCTGGAGGGGCGCATGGTGCCGCCCAAGGAGAAGTCGGAGACGGTCGACTCCAACGTCATCACGCCCGGCACGCCCTTCATGCAGCAGCTGTCCGTCGCGCTGCAGTACTACATCCACCTTAGGATCAATCAGGACCCCGCCTGGAAGAATGTCAAGGTGAGGATTTGGCAGGGTTTGGGGCTTTGGTTTAAGAGGTGAAGGAGGATACGCACGCCCTTGATACAACAGCTGTCCGTCGCGCTGCAGTACTACGACCACCTCAGGATCAATCAGGACCTTGCCTGGATGAACGTGAAAGTGAAGTTTAGGGTTGGGCCAGGGTTTAAGGGTGGCTAGTCAGTAGAGAGAGGGAGGGGAGAGGGTACTCCCGCCCTTCATACAACAGTACCACCTCCACCTCAGGATCGACCACCAGGACCCGGCATGGATTGTGACAGTGAGGCTGAGCGAGGATTGTGGATCAGGGTTCTGGTTTCAGGGGAGACGCGTGAGGAGAGAGAGGGAGGGGTGATATGAGATCAGAGGAAAACTGGGATCGATCAGAACTAATAGACCTTAGAAACACACCTTTTTATCTTGCCCATCGTTGGTTCCGCACCACCACCACCACCACCACCACCACCACCACCACCACCACCACCACCACCACCACCACCACCACCACCACCACCACCACCACCACCACCACCACCACCACCACCACCACCACCACCACCACCACCACCACCACCACCACCACCACCACCACCACCACCAGCAGCAGCAGCAGCAGCAGGTGATTCTATCAGACGCCTTCGTGCCAGGAGACGGAGAGCATAAGATCATGAACTACATTCGCCCAGCCCACAGGTTACCTGATGCTTTCCCCTCCATGCCATGCCGTCCCACCGTCACCACCACCACCAGGTGATTCTGTCGGACGCCAACGTGCCAGGCGAGGGAGAGCACAAGATCATGAACTACATTCGCCTGCAGCGGAACCTTCCAGGCTTCGACCCCAACACACGCCACTGCATCTACGGACTGGTAGGTGACATGTTTATAGCTTGCTCGTTACCCCCGCTTAAACCTCGCACCCTAAACCCTACCTTTTTATTCCGTGTGGAGATCACAGATCCCAGCACCCCCTCCTTCCCTGCCGCCATTTGACTGTGAATCTCCTCCCACTGCATGCATATCCGACCATGGTAGCCTTGTCAAGAGAGGAAATGCACGTCACGTCAGCATGCCCCCTTGCTATCCTCCTCCCCCCCCCCTCTCTCTCCCCCACTTTCCCGCTCCCTATCCCCAATCCCCTCAACACATACTTTCTTTCCCACAAAACCGCACAATTTCTTCCCTGCCTATTCCGCCCTCATCCCCTGCAGGACGCGAATCTGATCATGCTGCCCTTCGTAACACACAAAGTGCACTCCACCATGCTCCATCCTCTCTTTCCATCTCCCTCACGTCTCGCTCCCTGCATATGCCGTCCTCATCCCCTGCCCCTCGTAACACACAAAGTGCACTCCACCGTTCCCCATGCTCTTGTCCCCTCCCCTCCCCCCTCCCTCTCTGCCCTACCGCCGTCCCTTTTCCCCTGTAGGACGGGATCTGGTTATGCTGGCCCTGGCAACACACGAAGTGCATTCTTAACATTCTCACTCCGTCCCCACCTTTTGCCAAAACCCCCTCCTCCCACCTTCCTGTCGTCTTCCCCTTTGCCGCTCACTCTCATCTTCCTTCCCCTTGCAGGACGCGGATCTGATCATGCTCGCCCTGGCAACACACGAAGTGCATTTCACCATTCTCAGAGAGGTGGGTGCTCTCGTGCTCGCACTCTAGCTACTGTGTATGTGCGCTCACCCAGCCCCTCAGAACCCCACGCCTTGCTAGAACGCGCCCAATGAATCGTGCATCTCTCCATTCGTGATGCCCAGGCTAGCCTGCCTGACCATGCAGCATTCTCTTCCACCCTCCATTCCTGCGCCTTTGTTCATTTCACTGTCGTCAACTCTTCGCCCTCCACTCCCTTCTCTTCCCCCTTCTGTCATTTTCCTCGTTCCGTGGTTCTTACCTCCCTCATTGGCGAGTATGTCGCGGCCTGCATGCCTCTGTCTTGTTCCTAATCCCCTCCTCCTTATCCCTTGATTACTCTTTGTTTCCCGCACTCACATGCCATTGGCTGCCAAGCAGGTGGTGTTTCAGCCCGGGCAGGTGGACAAATGTTTTCTGTGCGGGCAGACGGGGCACCTGGCAGCAGAGTGTGAGGGCAAGCCGAAGCGCAAGAGGGGCGAGAACGACGAGAAGGAGGGGGGTGTACCCAAGAAACCGTTTCAGGTGGGTGTTTGTGCGTGGGTTGGGGGGCATGCGTCACCCATTATGCGAGCATGAAGCATCTGGTGGCAGAGTGTGAGGGCAAGCCAAAGCGAACGACGACAAGGAGGGGGGCATGCCCAAAAAGCCGTTTCAGGTGAGGATGCGTGTTGGGGGAATGGGTCACCCGTTATAAGTGCATGCGGGGGAGAGTGTAAGGGCAGGCTGAAACGCAAGAGGGACGAGCACCGGTCCATGTGCGGGGCGTGAGATGGACCCGGACCGGACCTGGAGAAGGCGGATGTGTCTGCAGGGTGTTTTTGAGAATTCTCAATAACACCCTGCCGCAAGATGGACCTGGAGAAGGCGGATGTGTCTGCTCTGCTCTCCAGCTCTGTTCCCTCAGTCTGCCCCTTTTTGCCATTCCCCTGTTGCACTTGTTCTCTTAGTTGCTAATAGAGTGCTGGGAGTAGAGATGGACCTGGAGAGATAGGGATGAGAGGGGTCTTGCCTGTTTCCCACATCTGCTGCTCTCATTGTTCCCTTCCACTGCCTCCTCCCTGCGTGCCCGACATCAACAGTTGCTGCAGTGCTGGGTGCTGCGAGAGTACCTGGAGCTGGAGTTCCGCGTGCCGGGGGTGGAGATGGACCTGGAGAGGGTGCTCGACGACTTTGTCTTCATGTGCTTCTTCGTGGGGAATGACTTTTTACCGCACATGCCGACGCTCGAGATCAGAGAGGTGCGCAGCGGTGGTATGCGGTGTGGTGTCTCTTTCTCGTCTTGGTGTTGGTGAGACCGGTGTTGGCATGTTGTAAGAGGGTGCTGGACGATTTTGTCTTCATGTGCTTCTTCGTGGGGAATGACTTTCTGCCGCACATGCCCACTCTCGAGATCAGAGAGGTAAGTTGTGGTGGGAGGAGGATGGTAGACCCGGTCTTGGTGGTGTGAGTTGAACACGTGCTGTGCTGGCTGGCATGTTCAGTCAGTTGCTCTTTCAGGCACCTCAACGGTCCCTGTGATGTGACGCCCATGTCTCCCCACGGTGCAAGCTCATGTCTCCCCACCCCACCGTGTGTGTGGATGCATTTTCCATTTCGCATGTGTGTGTGTGTGTGTGTGTGTGTGTGTGTGTGTGTGTGTGTGTGTGTGTGTGTGTGTGTGTGTGTGTGTGTGTGTGTGTGTGCATGTCCACAGGGTGCCATCAACCTCCTGGTGTCAATCTACCGCCGCGAGTTCGCCAACCTGGGAGGCTACCTCACAGAGAACGGCGAGGTGAGTCGTGGCAGTGGCAATGGCAGTAGCGGTAGCCATGGGTGGGTCTGTGTGTGCATGTCCACAGGGTGCCATCAACCTCCTGGTGTCAATCTACCGCCGCGAGTTTGCCAACCTGGGAGGCAGTGGCAGCGGCAGTGGGTGTGGCAGTGGGTGTGGCAGTGGGTGCGGCAGTGGCAGTGTCAGTGTCAGTGTCAGTGGCAGTGGCAGTGTCAGTGTCAGTGTCAGTGGCAGTGGCAGTGTCAGTGGCAGTGGCAGTGTCAGTGGCAGTGGCAGTGGCAGTGGCAGTGTCAGTGGCAGTGGCAGTGTCAGTGGCAGTGGCAGTGGCAGTGTCAGTGGCAGTGGCAGTGGCAGTGGCAGTGTCAGTGGCAGTGGCAGTGGCAGTGGCAGTGTCAGTGGCAGTGGCAGTGGCAGTGGCAGTGGCAGTGTCAGTGGCAGTGGCAGTGTCAGTGGCAGTGGCAGTGTCAGTGGCTTTGGCAGTGTCAGTGGCAGTGGCAGTGGCAGTGTCAGTGGCAGTGGCAGTGTCAGTGGCAGTGTCAGTGGCAGTGGCAGTGTCAGTGGCAGTGGCAGTGTCAGTGGCAGTGGCAGTGGCAGTGTCAGTGGCAGTGTCAGTGGCAGTGGCAGTGGCAGTGGCAGTGTCAGTGGCAGTGGCAGTGTCAGTGGCAGTGGCAGTGTCAGTGGCAGTGGCAGTGGCAGTGTCAGTGGCAGTGGCAGTGGCAGTGGCAGTGGCAGTGGCAGTGGCAGTGGCAGTGGCAGTGGCAGTGTCAGTGGCAGTGTCAGTGGCAGTGGCAGTGGCAGTGTCAGTGGCAGTGGCAGTGGCAGTGGCAGTGGCAGTGGCAGTGGCAGTGTCAGTGGCAGTGGCAGTGTCAGTGGCAGTGGCAGTGGCAGTGGCAGTGGCAGTGGCAGTGGCAGTGGCAGTGGCAGTGGCAGTGTCAGTGGCAGTGGCAGTGTCAGTGGCAGTGGCAGTGTCAGTGGCAGTGGCAGTGGCAGTGGCAGTGGCAGTGGCAGTGGCAGTGGCAGTGGCAGTGGCAGTGTCAGTGGCAGTGGCAGTGGCAGTGGCAGTGGCAGTGGCAGTGGCAGTGGCAGTGGCAGTGGCAGTGGCAGTGGCAGTGGCAGTGGCAGTGGCAGTGGCAGTGTCAGTGGCAGTGGCAGTGGCAGTGGCAGTGGCAGTGGCAGTGGCAGTGGCAGTGGCAGTGGCAGTGGCAGTGGCAGTGGCAGTGGCAGTGGCAGTGGCAGTGGCAGTGGCAGTGGCAGTGGCAGTGGCAGTGGCAGTGGCAGTGGCAGTGGCAGTGGCAGTGGCAGTGGCAGTGGCAGTGGCAGTGGCAGTGGCAGTGGCAGTGGCAGTGTGTATAACCCCGAACACAAGAGATGTACCATCTCGCATTCGCTGGTGTTCCAATCCAACCCTCAACTTGCTTCTCCCCATGTGCGGCTGTGGCCTCTCGCTTTCTACCGGAGCTCCCATCCACTCGCCCACCTCCGTTTCCTCGCCCCACTTTCCCCTCCCTTCCCTACCCTCCCGCAACCCCCCACCTCCCCTCTCTCCCCTTTCTCCCGTTTCTCTCCCAGGTGGATCTGCGGCGAGTGGAGCATTTCATCCAGGCTGTGGCAGTGCACGAGCAGTCCATCTTCATGAAGCGCGCCCGCATCCACCAGGTAAGCTGCACGGCGGTGCGTGGTGCAGGGTGCATGGTGCATAAGGCATGGGGCATGGGGCATGGTGCATCATGCATTACATGTGGCATTTACACTATTGTCCAATTTTATGAAGCGCACTCACCAGGCTATCACACAGGCTGAGCGTGACTAGCATGCCATGCTTGCACCAAGCCGGCTCCTTCAAAAATGAGAGCACTGAGTTGAACACAATCCACAGCGCGGCACTGGCAGGCCGGTGAGAGGGAAGAGTGTGAGGGAAGAGTGTGAGGCTGCGAGGTGCGGGCAGCAAGGTGACGAGTGGTGGTGTGAGCAGTGGATATGGAGCATTCGTCACGGGGCTCGTGCGTGGTTCATGGAGCAAGCTTTATGAAGCCCATGCAGTGCAGGTTCCATGGTGCACTCACCGCTATTTCTCGCTGCCGTGTGTGTTGCCATGGGGCCATGGGCATGACCATGCACTTCATGATTTGCATGGGTTATGGTATGGCATGGCGCGTGGTGCATGGCATGTGATGTCTATGTGCATGTGCGTGGCTCTTGGTGCATGTGTGCGCTGCGTGTGTGGCACATGGCACATGAGCAGAGGCAGAAGGAGAGGAGGGTGCGAGACAGGCAGCAGAAGGAACGCAATCAGTACCGCAAGGGAGACGAGGCCGCCCCCAACGTGCCCTCATCCGCCCTGCAGCCAGTACGTGCCCTTGCATCTGCCAGCGTTGCAGCAGCCAAAGCACTTGGGAGGGTTGTGGAGCCGCAGCAGTTGCAAGCCGTTGGCTCCACTCACTCGCCTGTTCAGGATGCTCGTCATCTCCCACTGATTGCACTTATTGCACTGATTGCCCTTGGTCTCGCTTGCCCCTCCCCTCACATGTCCCATATGCTCCTCCATGCCTCTCCTCTCCCTCCCCTTCCCCCGGCCCCCTCTTTCCTCACAACAACAGCTGTCAGCATCACAGCAGCCAATGCATCATGGGGGGCAGCACAGCCGCAGCGACGTGAACAGCCCTGTTCCTCTATGTCTCCCTAAACCCTCTCTTCCTCCCCACTCCCCCCCCCCCCCCTCCCAATCTACCACTCTGCAGGTGCCAGCATCGCAGCAGCCAACACACCAGGGGGTGCTGCACAGCCGCAGCGACATGCATAGTGGCTCCCGCTTCCACCACCACCGCTGCTGCTGCTGCTGCCGCTGTCTCTTCACACCCCCCCCTTTTCCCCCCTTGCTACCCACCTCCCCACCTTGCAGCTGCCAGCGTCACAGCAGCCAACACACCACGGAGGACCCTGCAGCCGCAGCGACATTTGTAGTTCCTCCTGCAACTCCTTTGCCCTCCTCGCCACTTCACACGTTCCCCGTCCCCTGATTCTCAATGTTTCTCTATCTCCTCTTCCCAATTCCCCCCTTCCCCTGACAGCTGCCAGCATCACAGCAGCCAACGCACCACGGAGGACTGTACAGCCGCAGCGACATGAACCCTGCCTCTCGCAACTCCTTCGCCCTCCTCGCCACGCCGCTCGCCAACCCCAATGCTGCTGCTGCCAACGGGTCAGCGGGGAGCAACCAGGCGGCTGCTGCTGCGCTGCGCGCCAAGCTGGCAGGCCACGCCACGTCAGCATCGTCGGCCGACCCGGCTGCGCCACCTGTAACGAAGATGATGCGTGTGGATGGTGCTGCTGGCGCTGCTGCTGCTGCCGCCGCAGGAGGGAGAGAGGTTGGCCGATCGGCCCTGGTGGGAAAGGGTAGAGAAGGAAGGTTAGAGAATGATGAGAAGAGTGAGAAGGTTGAGAAGGGTAGGGAGGGGTACAGAAGGTAGGGAAGGTGAGGGAAGGGTAGAGAAAGTAGGGAAGGTGAGGGAAGGGTAGAGAAAGTAGGGAAGGTGAGGGAAGGGTAGAGAAGGTTAGAGATGGGTAGGGAAGGGTAGGGGAGAGTAGGGAGTGGTGGTAGGTTTAGTAGAGGGAGCTGTGCGAGAAGTGATGGTCGAAAGGTGGCATGGGGATAGTGGACTAGCAAAGTCGCTCCACCAGTAGTGCATGCACTGCGCGTCCATCTTGTGCTGCTCGCTGGGCGTGCTCATGTTTGCCTGCCTGCCTTCCTGCCTTCGTTTTACCAGTTCTCATGTGTGCTGCATCAATAGAGCGCACCTGCCATGTGCCCGCCATGCCATGTGCCTGCCATGTGATGTGCCTGCCAGCCATGCCATGTGCCCGCCATGCCATGTGCCTGCCATGTGATGTGCCTGCCAGCCATGCCATGTGCCCGCCATGCCATGTGCCTGCCATGTGATGTGCCTGCCAGCCATGCCATGTGCCCGCCATGCCATGTGCCTGCCATGTGATGTGCCTGCCAGCCATACCATGTGCCCGCCATGCCATGTGCCTGCCATGTGATGTGCCTGCCATCCATGCCATGTGCCCGCCACGTGCCCGCCCACGCGACCTCCTTTTTCTTGCCTGCTTTGTTCATGCATGCTGCGGCTATCTTTCCGCCATTTTTATATGCCGATTTCTGCCTCCTTTTCCTCCCCAGGGTGTGGTTTCATTATTTTAGGAGGCTTAATACATTTTTGTCCCATCATTGCTTTGTTCTTCCTCCCACTTCAGCCTCACACACTCATTACGCCTCTTTCTGCTGTCTTCCCATGCCCTCCCTGCCCCACGTTGCCCTCCCTGCCCCGCGTTGCCCTTCCTGCCCCGTGCTACCCTCCCTGCCTGGCCCACACTGCCCTGTGCTCACCCATGCAGGAGGAGGAGGAGGAGGATCTGCAGGAGGAGCTCAAGCTCAAGCTCAAGTCCGCGCTCAAGGACAAATCAGACCTGTTTGCCGGGGGCAAGGAGCCGGATGACGAGGTGAGGAATAGAGCCATGGTAAGGTATGTATATAGTTGGCGAGAGGGGAGGGATGGGGGAGAGAGGAGCTCAAAATGAAGCTAAAGACGGACCTTTTTGCTGGGGGCAAGGTGCCCGATGATGAGGTGAGATGGGTGGTGTGCTGTGCAAGAAGAGGGGGGGGGGGGGGGGGGGGAGTGGAGTGGAAGGAGCGGTACTGCCAGCAGAAGTGGTCGGTGAAGTCCCTCTTTCACCATCTCCCTGCCTCTCTCTGCCTCTTCCTGCCATGATCTTACCTTATCTCATCACATCTCATCACCCCATCCCATTGCATGCATGGATCTGGTTGGGCGACTGGGGGTGGAAGGATCGGTGTTACCGTGTTACCAGCAGAGGTGGTCAGCCAGTACCTTGTGCCTGATCTCATATCATCTCATCTCGTCCCCCCTTGTCATGCATGCATCACCCAATCGCATTGCATGTTGACAGATCCGACGGGGCAACGAAGGGTGGAAGTAGCGCTACTACCAGCAGAGGTGGTCGATCAGGACCCTGTCTCTCATATCACATTATGATTATCTCATCATCCCTTGTCATGCATGCATTGCCCCGTGTCATGCATCAGATCCGGCTGGGTGACGACGGGTGGAAGGAACGCTACTACCAGCAGAAGTTTGGAGTGACGTCGTATGAGGAGCAGGAGCGCGTTCGTCAGGATGTGGTCAGTACCCTCGGGCTCACCGCACTGCACTCCACTCCGCCTCACCGCACTCCTCCTCACTGCACTATGCCCCACTGTATTCCGCCTCACTGCACGACACCTCACCGCACTCGGGTTCACCACGCACTCACACTGCCCGTTCTGTCTCTTTCCATCTGCTCCAGCTTGTGGAGAGAGTTTATGGTGGCTCATGGGATACTGCTTCCAAGGCCCTCCTCCCTCTCACACTAACACATAAAGTCCCCCAGATCTCTCTTGCTATCAAATCTCTCTTACTTGCTATCAAATCTCTCCTACTTGCTATCAAATCTCCACTTTTGGATCTCTGCCTCTCAGAATAATTTTTTTGCTTTCCCATGCTCGCACGATTAACTCGACCCTTGCTGCCTCCAATCCTCCCTCCCGCAGATTCTAAAGTTTGTGAGGAGAACAGCCGTAAAGAGAGAAAGAGGGGGTTGAGTTAGGGTACGGCCCTAAAGAGAGAAAGAGGGAGTTGAGTTAGGGTACAGCCGTAAAGAGAGAAAGAGGGGGTTGAGTTAGGGTACAGCGGTAAAGAGAGAAAGAGGGGGTTGAGTTAGGGTACAGCCGTAAAGAGAGAAAGAGGGGGTTGAGTTAGGGTGCAGCCGTAAAGAGAGAAAGAGGGGGTTGAGTTAGGGTCTTACTGGGCTATGCTGGGTCATTCGGTATTACTACAACGGCTGTACTCCGACTCACTCAACCCCCTCTTTCTCTCTTTTGCCGCGCACACCCAACCCATCCGCCTGTGCCCATCGCTTCTGCAGGTGCTCAAGTTTGTGGAGGGTCTATGCTGGGTCATGAGATATTACTACCAGGGCGTGTGCTCTTGGAACTGGTGAGATTAAGCTAAGGTGTATTATTACCTGGGTGGTGATGGATGCTGGGTGGTGCAGAGTGATGTATTACTACCAGGGCGTGTGCTCTTGGAACTGGTGAGATGTGGCTAGGTTGAATCGGTGACAGGGAGGTACCACTGGGTAGTGATGGGTGTGGCGGGCTGGTGGAGATTGGTACTGATGGTTTGTGCGAGGGTCTCTTCTGGGTCATGTGGGACTGCTGGGTGATGCGATATTACTACCAGGGCGTGTGCTCATGGAACTGGTGAGAGCAAGGCGTAGTGGTGGGTGGTGGGTGGTGCTGTGGGATGATGTATTGCTACCAGGGCTTGTGCTCGTGGAACCGGTGAGGCCTGCTGGTGGCTAGATTGACCAGGTGAAAGGAGTGCAGTGATGTGGTTTGTGCAAGGGCTTATTCTGGGTTGCATGGTAGTGCTGCTGGGCCATGTGGTAGTGCTGTGTCACAAACCTAGCAACTGTCTCCTCACATACCCCCCTCCCCCAGGTACTACCCGTACCACTATGCACCGTTTGCATCTGATTTGGTGCGCCTGGACGAGTTGGAGATTCACTTCTTTCTCGGCCGCCCCTTCAAGCCCTTTGATCAGCTCATGGGCGTGCTGCCCGCCGCCAGGTATGGTGCAGTGCGGTGGAGTGTGGCCATGTGCGGTGTTATGCAGTGGCGTGTGGTACTGTGTGTTGTGACAATGTGCGCCTGGACGAGTTGGAGATTCACTTCTTCCTCGGCCGCCCCTTCAAGTCCTTCGACCAGCTCATGGGCGTGCTGCCTGCGGCTAGGTACGGTGCAGTGCGGTGGAGTGCGGTTCAGGTGTGGTATCATGTGGTGAGGTGCAGTGCAGTGTGGTTGTGTGCGGTGGAGTGCGGTGTTGTGTGTTGTGGTCAACTGGTGAGCCTGGACAAGCTGAAGATCCACTTCTCCCTCCTCGATCCCCTTTGAGACTAAAACTCAAAACCTTTTTCACTCCTTCCTCTCTCCCCTCTCTCCCCTGCTCCACACATCAGTTCCGGTGCGCTGCCAACAGCGTATCGCAAGCTCATGTCGGACCCAGCCTCGCCCATCGTTGACTTCTACCCCACTGGTACACGCCTCGTTGCATGCATGCCACGCCTGCCACGCCTGCCACACCATGCCACGCCATGCCATGCCTGCCATGTCATGCCACGCCATGCCACGCCTGCCACACCATGCCATGCCATGCCACGCCATGCCATGCCATGCCACGCCATGCCATGCCATGCCACGCCATGCCATGCCATGCCATGCCATGCCACGCCATGCCACGCCTGCCACACCATGCCATGCCATGCCACGCCATGCCATGCCATGCCACGCCATGCCATGCCATGCCATGCCATGCCATGCCATGCCATGCCATGCCACGCCATGCCATGCCATGCCATGCCATGCCATGCCATGCCATGCCACGCCATGCCATGCCATGCCATGCCATGCCACGCCATGCCATGCCATGCCATGCCATGCCATGCCATGCCATGCCATGCCATGCCATGCCATGCCATGCCATGCCATGCCATGCCATGCCACGCCATGCCATGCCATGCCACGCCATGCCATGCCATGCCATGCCATCCATACGTGGTCCGTCACCACTTGCATGCCATGCTTTCGCTGCATCCGTCCATGCATGCATGCATCAATCGCATTGTCTGATTTCTCTGCTTGCCCTCGCTTCCTCCCCTCTCTGCCTCACCAGTCTGAGTGCGCACAGACATGCCGAACACGACTTTGTTCGCATTTTTATCTGCACTTGATCACAGCTTCTTCCTCCTCTACCTCTCCTTTCCCTCATCATCCCCTTCCCTCCCCCACCCCCCCAACCCCCCCCCCCCCCCCCCCTCGTCGCACTCCCCCGTCCCCCGGCCTTTCCACTCTCTTCTCCGCCTGCACAGATTTCAGTGTTGACATGAATGGCAAGCGCTTTGCTTGGCAGGTCAGTTTCCCCGCCTCTCTACACACACTCCCAGTCTCACACTCGTTCACCCTTGTCCTTTCTCACCCTTTCCCGCCTGCAGTCACACCACCTTCTTCCTTTCGTCTGCCTGGCTTTCTGTTTCATTCTCTCCTCGTCTCCCCGACTGTCCCTCACTCCTTCAACCTTTTCCCATCAGCTCGTGGCTTGTAAAGGGTTGAGGCGTGGCGTCACTGAATTCTAGAGCATCTCGGGTCATGTGTGAAGCATCTTTGCTGCTGCACAGATGCCATGTGTGCCTAGGGCCGTACCATACCAAGGATCCCATCCCATGCATGTCATGCAGCAGCCTCCTTCATTCATAATCCAGCACCCCGTCTCATGCCCGCACTGCACTATGCCATGCCCATGTGCCGTGCCCATGTGCCGTGCCCATGTGCCATGCGCAAACTCGCCATGCCACTCATGTCCCATGTCCTTGCGCACCACTCCTCACCATCCTTGTCCAGGGAGTGGCGTTGCTGCCGTTCATCGATGAAGACCGACTGCTAGAGGCCATCAAGCAAGTCGAGTCCACTCTCACGGTGAGTCCCAATTCAAGGAGCACCGTTTGTAATCGAAGCATGAAACCATGTCTGTCTGTCAAGCAAGTCGAGCCCACTCAGGTTCCATGCCACCTGCCCTCACTGTGACGGCGCGTACCCAAATACCCGCCACCGCGTGCTTTTGTGTTTCCAACTCCACCCATTCTCCTGTAATGGGAGCAATGTTGCAACGTGCCTCGTTGTGTTGTGTCACATGCTATTTCAACCATCCACCCTCCCCACAGCCCGAGGATAGGAGGCGCAACAGCCAGCTGTGCGAGCTCATGCACTTCTCCTTAAGATACCCGCCAGCAACCCCAGCATGTCCTCACGTGCTCATAACCTGCATGCCTCTTGCGTGAACCATTCACCCACCCTCACAGCCGGAGGAGAGGAGGCGCAACAGCCAGCTGTGCGAGCTGATGTACTTCTCATCGGGGTACCCACTGGCAAAGACGGTGTGGGAGATGATGGGCAAGTGGGGGCAGCTCGATGCCAAGGCGCGCGCCCACAAGAAGCACGCTATCGACCCCTCCCTCAGGTATACCTCCCTCAGGTATACCTCCCTCAGGTATACCTCCCTCAGGTATACCTCCCTCGGGTATACCTCCCTCGGGTATACCTCCCTCGGGTATACCTCCCTCGAGTATACCTCCCTCGGGTATACCTCCCTCAGGTATACCTCCCTCAGGTATACCTCCCTCGGGTATACCTCCCTCGGGTATACCTCCCTCGGGTATACCTCCCTCAGGTATACCCCCCTCAGCCTTCTCTCTCTCTTTCTTCCCTTCCTTGTGTCTCTGCAACCAGCGATGGAATGAACCGCTATCTATCCAGTGCTATCTAGTGCTCTGTGCGGCCGCCCCCGCTCTGCCCATGCTGCTGCAACCAGTCACACACATCTCAAAAGACGTTCCTCATTTTTCCCCCTTTCCTTGCCTTCCTCCTGCTTCTGCCCCTGCCCCCGCCCCTGCCCCCGCCCCTGCCCCTGCCCCTGCCCTGCCCTGCCCTGCCCTGCCCTACCCTGCCCTGCCCTGCCCTGCCCTGCCCTGCCCTGCCCTGCCCTGCCCTGCCCTGCCCGTGCCCCTATTCCTCTCCTACCCCCCCCCTGGGTTGCCGTGCAAGGGGGAGTGGCTCTATCAGCGATGGTATGAACGGCTACCTAGTCTTGTGTGACGGCCAGCCCTGCCCGCCCATGCTGCGCGCGCCCATGTCGGGCTTCGAGACCATCACCAGCAACCAAGTCATGTGAGCTGCTGTTTTGTGAGATGGCAATTATGTTGTGCAAGCGCCCGTGTGTGAGCGGGCAATTGCTGTGAGCGGGCAATTGCTGTGAGCTGGCAATTGCTGTGAGCTGGCAATTGCTGTGAGCTGGCAGTTCAGGTCGTGTGACTTTGCCCGCCCATGCTGCTTGCCCCCATGTCGCGATTTGAGGCCATCACCAGCAACCAAGGCATGTGAGCTGGCAGCCAAGGCTGTCAGGAAGAAATAATGCGAGTTGGCAGTTTATGCATGTGAGCCAGCATATCAACCAGGCAGCAGCAAGGCTGCAACAAGGATACCATCTCTGATGCTGCATTATGGTTCTGCACGCATAACTGCTTTCTTGATCGCCATTGATCTTATCACTCTCGTCATCCCTTCTCTCCTGCACTTACCCGTCCCTTCCACTTCATCTCGCATCTCTGCAACTCTGCATGCCCTCCCTCACACCCGCTTCTCTCCCCCATCCCTCCGCGCCTCCCCCCAAAACACAAACTACTTTCTGCACCCTCGCGCCAGCTGTTCGAGAATCCCGACTTCCATTGCCACATTCTCCCCACCTCTTACCGTACCTCTGCAACTCCCCCTCCCCCCCCCACCCCCTCCTTTCCCCCACCCCCCTATACTGCCCTGCCCCCAACCAAGGTTCAAAAATACGACCGTATTTTTGTTTTTTTGCCGTAAATTACGGAATCGTAAATTACGGTCGTAAATTACGGTAAAAAACGGTAAATCATTGTATTTTAATGTTGGTGCAAAAATACGGTCGTAAATTACGACCGAAATTTTGATACCGAGTTTGCAATAGCGAATTTCGGCGTTTCACAACCGTCACCCTGGGTCAGAAACATTTGTGCGGCCAAATGCACACGTGTTGGTTTTTTTTCCCGAGTCGCGCATGTCAGGTATTTCTCGAGGCGCGACATTTGGTTTTTTGGCGAACGGATTCCTGCTCTGTTGCCTTGACGAAATGTTAGTTTGCAAATTTCGCCGAAGCGCAAATATACAAATTTGCGCGATGCGGTAAACTGTACATTTGGCGAACCGTTGTCACCCGTCAACCCGTTTCGTCAGGTCGGTGGGACGATTCGCGAGCTTTTCGTTTTTTTCGCCCGCGTGCGCGACACAACCGAACTTTGCGCTGCGAAACCATTTTAACCAATAACGTTAGCCCAATCCCCATCCCATCCCATCCCACCCCTTCTGCCTTTTCCTTTCGCCAAAGCAACACAACCAAATCTAGCAAGGCACAAAGAGCAGGGCAAACAACCTACTCGACAAGTACATCTTAGCTTAGTAGGCATTTTACTGCTGCAGTCAAGCAAGTGCAGTATTCCACCATGGTTAGACCGTTCTCGGAGGTGTGGGAGCACGTGACGAAGGTCACATCTCCTAACGGCGTAGTTACCGCGACATGCAGCTATTGCCCTGCTACTGTGACCCCAAATGCCACTCGTATTCGAGAGCACATCTACGGGACCCCTCGCTCAAAGGAGAAGAACGTGACGCCGTGTCCGTCCGAATTTGCCAAACGCCTACGAGAAGCCGCCGAAAGGGATCGGTCTTCCACACCGTCAAGTTCCAACCGTGCCTCCTCCACCTCCACAACGGTCGAGATGCCGCCCGCAAGGCGTTCTAGGCAGCGGGACATCCGCGATATGGCGGATTCCGTTGCCCGCGCGCGTCTGGACTACCTGTGGGCGGTAGTTGTGGCTGAAAATGATCTTGCCTTCAACGTCTCCAAGTCTCGTGCGCTACAGGCCTTCGTTGACGCGGCTGTCGTCTACGCGAAGCCCTACACACTCCCAACCCCTTACAAGGTGTCCGGATCTCTCCTCGACAAGCTAAGGGCGGACGCCGAGGAGCTTGTGAGGCCGTTGAAGGAGAGTTGGAAGACGACCGGGTGCAGTCTCTCGGTGGACGGGTGGACGTGCTTGAAGTCCCGCGCGATGGTGTGCGTCATCGCCCTCAACGACACCGCGCCCGTCATTGTGGACATCGTCGACTCGAAAACCGCGAAGAAAACGGGGGATTACCTCGCGGGTCTCATCGGCAAGTCCATCTCCGAAGTGGGGAAAGATCTCGTGGTCCAGGTCATTATGGACAACGCCTCTAACAACCGATCTGCGGCTGAGAAGCTTAAGGTGGAGTTTCCCGGGATTTTCTTCACCAATTGCGCCGCCCACTGCTTGGATCTTATGCTTCACGACTTTGGGAAAGTCAAGCCCATCAAACTCGTCTTGGAGCAAGTTCATCGGGTCGTCATGATGATCAAGGGCAGCGCCTCGGCCGTCGTTCTATTCCGCGAGCTTTTTACCAAGCTTTCGTTGGTGCGGCCGGGTGCGACACGTTTCGACACGCAAGTCATCATGCTACGCCGATTCTTGGAGGTGAAGAAGGCGCTCCAGGAGATGGTCATCAGCGATGAATGGAAAGGGGTGGCGGTGGCGCAGAAGACCGAAGGGCAGGAGGTGCGGACGCTTCTTCTCGACGACGTATTTTGGGACTGCGTGTCTGCGGTGCTCGGCCTCCTCACGCCGGTTTATGAAGTGCTAAGGATGGTTGACACGCGGGCGCAAATCATGGGCCAAATCTATGGCCTTATGATTGACATCACGGTCAAGACTCGGGTAGCTGCAGAGGCCGCCGGTAAGTGCAAGGCTATTTATTGGTTTTCCTACTCCTTGATCCAAAATTGTGATGCGAGATCATGCCGCGCATGCCAATCCCTACATTAACGAAAACCACCTCCATTCTCACCGTGAGCAGCGGCGGTGTTCGTCAAGAAGACGGGTCTGCTCTTGGCCAAGGACAAGAGCTCCTTCATCACATCCATCAAGGGCATCCTTGCCAAGCGTTGGGACGGGCAACTCCACAACTCCCTGCATGCCCTCGGATGGCTTCTTAATCCCCGCAACCAATATGCGGGGGAGGTGAGAACGGATGCGGAGGTGAGGAAGGGGGCCAACGAGGTGATTGATGCCCGGGTGGGGGATGTTGCCCAGCGCATCAAGCTGCAGACACAGCTGGTGCAGTTTCACAAGGGGGAGGGCCGCCTCGGGTCGGATGACGCGCTATGGGCAGCCAGGATTTTGGTGGCGGGGGGACACATGACGGATGCGGAGTGGTGGTGCATTTTTGGAGGGGAAGTGCAAGCGCTCCAGGAGCTGGCTGTGACGTCCCTTTCACAGCCAGTCACCTCGTCAGAGGTGGAGCGGTACTGGTCCGCCCTTGCACGAGTGCAGAGGCGCGACCGGAACCGCATCGCGGCCAAGAAGATGACTGATGTCACCTTCGTGGCCTTCACGAGGAGGGCCCGCGATGCGTTTGATCGCAAAACGCAGGCGCGTGCGAAGTTGTACGCCGATCTCACCGACGGAACCCTCAAAGAGGGCATTGCCGTTCTCCCGCCCGCACCAGTGGAGGCGGTTGATGATGGGGCTGAGGAGGAGGAGGGAGCCGAGGTGCAGGAGTGCACCATCGACTGGAGCGTCTTTGGGAGCATTGGTAAGAAGAAGAAGAAGCGCGCGGGAGAGAGCTCCAAGAGGAAGAAGAAGCAGAAGGGAAAGGGGCCATGCAAGCGGAAGGGGAGAGGAAAGAAGCATGTGGAGGAGGAGGAGGCGGAGGATGACGAGGAGGAGGACGACGAGGAGGAGGAGGACGACGAGGAGGAGGAGGACGACGAGGAGGAGGAGGATGAGGAGGAGGAGGAGGAGGAGGAGGAGGAGGAGGAGGAGGAGGCGGAGGAGGAGGAAGGATAGGAGGTGGAGTGCCGGAGGAGTAGAAGGAGTTGGAGGAGTAGGATTGGAGGAAGAGGAGGGAATAGAATAGGTGCAGATTTGCCTAACTAGTGTAGTGTAGTTTCTTGTAGGCTTCTCTGCCATCGTTGTAAGCTGCCTAGAATTTTCTGAAAAAAAAAACAAGAAAAAAAAAAGTCCAACAAAAAAACGGCCGCATTTTTGCCAAAACCACCGTAATTTACAACCGTAAATTACGGACCGTAATTTACGATTGCCGTATTTTTGAACCTTGCCCCCAACCACCATATCAACTTCAGCTGTGTGGTTTACAAGAACCCAGACTTTCATCGCCACATCTGCCAGACTTGTCTGCACCTCTTACCGTATCGCTGCATCCCTCCCTCCCTCCCACCTTCACCAACCCCTGCACCTCACCCTCTCGCCAGCTGTGTGGTCTACAAGAACCCAGACTTCCATCGCCACATCTGCCGCCCGCCAGCTGGCGCCGTCTACCCCCCCAAGGCATGTATCTGCCGCCCATGGCATCTATCTGCCGCCCATAGCATGCACCTGCCGCCCATAGCATGTATCCGCCGTTTTCCCTCTGCTCTCTCCCTCCTGCTCTGTGCTTCTGATCGTATGGTATCAGAGCAAGACATTAAGTCTGCGCTGCTGTGGCACCAAGGCATTCAGTTGATTCTCCACACTTTTCTGTGCTCCCTCTCTGCCCGCACCCACCCTCACTCCCCTTCCCACCCACCCCCCGTTTCTCCCCTTCTTGCCCGGCTGCTTCCTATTCTTTCTTATCTGGCCCTTTTGCTCCTGCCTGTTCCGCTCATTAGTTGGTATCAGAGCAGGACATCAAGTCGGAGCCGCTGTGGCACCAAGGTATGCGGTTGGCACCTCAACACCTCCCCGTGCTCCCTGCTCTCCCCACCCCCTGCTACCCCCGCCCCGCTTGCGTGCTGCGCCCACCAGTTGGTATCAGAGCAGGACATCAAGTCGGAGCCGCTGTGGCATGAGGACACGTGGGGGCGGCGACGGCCGCAGATACAGGACAGGTGCGTGTGCTGGGTGCATGCCACACGTGTGCTAGGCGTGTGCCGAGCGTGTGCTGGCTGCGTGCCGGCGTGTTCTGGGCGTGTGCTGACCGTGTGCTGAGCATGTGCCAGGCGTGTGCGAAATGTGTTCTGGGCGTGTGTTCCGGGCGTGTGCTGGGCGTGTGCTGGGCGTGTGTTCCGGGCGTGTGCTTGCAAGCACTTCACTTCATCAAATTCCTCTCCTGGACAAATTTACACCTCGCTTCCTGTCCTCCTCATTCCTTTCTCTTGCCCCGTGTCTCCTCCTACTGTTACCTCACCCCCATCTCCTCACTTTCCTCACCCTTCTCTTTTCCCTGCCCTCCCTCCCTCCCCCTCCCCCACCCCACTCCCCCCCCCCCCCCGTTCTTCCCAGGCGGCCAGTGCAGAACGCCATAGGAGGTCCTGCCCTAGGGGCGGCAGCCACTCGTCTGCTTCTCAACTCTCTCGGCGCGGCCGGGCGGCAGGGTGGGGCGGCAGCCGCCCAGCTGCGGGAAGCGCAGCAGCGGCTGAGTCACATGGGCACTGCCGGCCCTGTGCCCCTGCCTGTTCCTCTAGCAGGCGGCATTCTCCCCGTACAGTCACCCTACAGCCAGGCCGCCCCTTATAGTCACACTCATGTGGGCGGATACAGTCACGGGCAAACGGGGGGGTACAGTGCAGTATCGGCAGACCCTAGGGTTGCTGCTTATGGGGGGAAAGCAGGGGCGTATGGGCAACCACAGCAGCAGCAGCAGCAGCAGCAGCAGCAGCAGCAGCAGCAGCAGCGGCAGCAGCAGCAGCCGCAGCAGCAACAGCAGCAGCAGGGGTATGGGTATCGGGGGGGACAGGCTGTATACCAGGTCCAGCAGCAGGCACAGGGGGTGTATTATCAGCAGCAGCAACAGCAGCAGCAAGGGGGGTATGGTGGGAATGTGTGGGTGAGGCCTGGTAGTGGAGCAGGTACACAAGCGGCACCACAAGTGGCAGGACAAGCGGCAGGGGGGTATGGTGGACGAGGGGGGTACGGGCAAGCAGGGGGGTACGGGAGAGGAGGGTATGGGGCGGGGCAACAGGGGTATGGGGGGGGTCAGCAGCAGGGGTATGGGGGCCAACAGGGACGGGGGTACGGGCAGCAAGGGGGAGGGTATGGGCAGGGCAGGGGAGGGCAATACGGCCAAAGTAGGCGCTGATGCTGATGCGGAGGTGAGATGCATTGAGAAAAAGGCAGCTCTCCAGAAAATGTGGCGGTTCTCTTAAATATATGTACATGCTGTTCACTCTTCAATCAAATACTTGTCATCGTGCCTGATTACGCAGTGCGAGAGGAAGAAATGGGTTATCGTCGTCAGGCTTCAGTTTTGTTGAGAATGATTTAATTGCAATTGTGATGCTTCGCATCGAAGTATCTAGCCTGCACAGTAAAATTTTAGCTGTTAAAATGAAATCAAGCACGTGAGTGTTTTCTTCAATCGTTATAGTCTATGGTGGAGCAGTCATTTGGCAAACACTTCTGGTCAGTTAGTACGAAACTGGTCGAGTCGGGCGAGAGTTCCGTAACAGTCGTGAGTGTCGATTGGCGAACTCTCAGACGAACCTCAAAAGGCTGAAGGCAATGAGCCCATAAATCGTCGTCGTCTGGGGCTTCGCTTAGCGGTCATTTTAGTCGCACCATGGCAGAGGACGACGGTTTCCGCCACTCTTACCTGCAGACCTCCCCGAACATCACAATCCACTTCGTGGAGGCCGGCCCGCCAACCGGCCAACTGGTTGGTCTACCTGCTGCTCCTTAGCTTCCTTTCCCCTCCTCCCCCAAGCGCACCTCCACATCGCACTCCACCTATGGCTCTTCCGCTCGATTATTAGTCTTCTGGTTTTCGTGATGTTTTGTGGAGGTGTCACTTAGTGCCAGGTCTGGTGTAGGTTTTCCTTGAATAGAATCTCCTTAGCTTCCGTTTCGCGGTCGCTTTCATGCTCTTCTTCTAACGCTTGGTTTTCGTCCGCTCATTGTCGCAACGCGTGCGTGCGCTCGTGCAGGTGGTGCTGCTGCACGGATTCCCTGAGTTCTGGAACACGTGGCACAAGCAGATTGGTCCGCTAGCCGAAGCAGGCTTTCGCGTCGTCGTTCCGGACCTACGAGGGTTTGGCGACTCTTCGCGGCCGGCTGGAATCGCGTCGTACAGTCGCCAGCATGTCTGCGCTGACGTGGCGTCGCTCATCTCGCACTGCCTTTCCCGTGCGACAGCTGCTGCCCCGACAGGCGCTGGCGATGCCGCCGCTACGAATCGCAGCAGCAGCAGCGCAGTCGCTGATGATTGTCGCACGTCGCCGGAAACAACGCTGGGCGAAACTGGCCTGCGACAACGAAGCAGCGAGCGCAGTGAAGAAATAAGAAAAGCTGACGTGGTGAGTATTGTAGCGAACGGCGAATGGGCGAAGTGCCAATGGAGCGCTCACAGCGTGGGCCATGGACCGTGCTCACCGCATCCGCTGTGTCAACCCCATTCCTCAGCCCCCCACAATCCGCCTGCCGTATTCTTCAACCCCCCATCATGCCATCATCCCGCATACCTCACTCCCCCCCCCCCCCCCCGCCCCCCCTTGCATACGACCAGGTGGGGCACGGGTGGGGGGCGTTCACAGCGTGGGCCACGGCAATGGATGAATCATCCGCACCTCGTGCGTCGCGTGGCAGTGCTCTGTGGGCCGCACCCCTTTGTCTTCCATCGCTGCCTGTCGCTCTGTGCCATGGGGCCATGGACGATGCGTACCTTGCTCTGAGATGTCTCAAGCCGCTACCCATTTCTCACCCCCTCCGAAATTTTGCAACCAGATCGGGCACGGGTGGGGCGCGTTCACAGCGTGGGCCATGGCAATGGACCATCCGCACCTCATCCGCCGCGTGGCAGTGCTCTGTGGGCCGCATCCCTTGGTCTTCCGCCGCTCCCTGTCGCTTCGAGAGCCCCTCACACTGCTGCGATACTTCTATTGGTGTGAGTGCTGCTCACATGGCCTGTAGGGGGTAGCTATTCTCCACACTCCTTGCAGTGCCCGGCTTCCCTCTCTGGTCCGCACACCCCTTTGTCTTCCGCTGCTGCCTGTCCCTCTGGGAGCCCCTCACGATGCTGCGCTACTTCTGCTGGTGTAAGTGCCACTCGTATGCCCAGTAGGGGAAGAGAAATGACTGCCATGCTCTGCCATGCACTGCTCTGCGCTGCTTCCCTCTGTGGGCCACACCCTCTCGTCCTCTGCCGCTGCCTGTCCCTCTGGGAGCCCCTCACGCTGCTGCGCTACTTCTGCTGGTGTGGGTCTTCTTGCTTTACCGTGCCAGTCCATGCCATACCATGCCATGGCTTGACTTGCCGTGCCATACCATGCCATGGCTTGACTTGCCGTGCCATACCATGCCATGGCTTGACTTGCCGTGCCATACCATGCCATGGCTTGACTTGCCGTGCCATACCATGCCATGGCTTGACTTGCCGTGCCATACCATGCCATGGCTCGACTTGCCGTGCCATACCATGCCATGGCTTGACTTGCCGTGCCATACCATGCCATGGCTTGACTTGCCGTGCCATACCATGCCATGGCTTGACTTGCCATGCCATACCATGCCATTGCTTGCCGTGCCATGCCATGCCGTGGCTTGGCTTGCCATGCCGTGCCATGCCATTCTACACCAATGGTTGCACCTCTGCAAAGACCACCGATGCATCGCACATCCATTCCGGTCGCTCACTGCTTCTCAATGCCCACCCACCCACTGCTCTCGAACATCCATCCCCGCCCCGCGCCGCACCCGTTCCCCCCATCCCGCCCTGCAGTCCTCTTCCTCGTGCCTTGGCTGCCCGAATGGCTTCTGCGGCGCAACAAGTGAGCCATACATGCCGAGCCAAGCACATGCCGAGCCAAGCACATGCCGAGCCAAGCACATGCCGAGCCAAGCACATGCCGAGCCAAGCACATGCCGAACCAAGCACATGCCGAGCCAAGCACATGCCGAGCCAAGCACATGCCGAGCCAAGCACATGCCGAGCCAACCACATGCCGAGCCACGCACATGGCGAGCCGCGCATACCTGTGCGGCACAGCATGTACCCATCGCTCTCTCACATGCCATGGCGTCCACCCAAGCGTCTGCCTTGTTCTGTTACCAAGCCTTTCTGCCATCTGGCCCTCATAACCCCATGCTCCCATGTCGTCTCTCCCTCCGTCGTATCCGCCTCTCCCACCTCTCTCCACCTCTCTCCACATCTCTCCCTAGCTGTGCAGCTCTGCAGCGTGTGTATGTATCGCGGCGAGCCACTGCAACCTCTGCCGCCTGCCCTTGTTCCACCTTGCCTTATCCACCGCACCCCACCTCTCTCCACATTCCTCCCCCCACCGCAGCTGTGCAGCTCTGCAGCGAGTGTACCGCGATGAGCCACTAAACCCACTGCCTCCTGCCCTTGTGCCACCTTGCCTTGTCCACCGTACCCCAGCTCTCTACACCTCTCTCCACACCTCTCTCCCCCCCCCCCCCAGCTGTGCAGCTCTGAAGCGAGTGTACCGCGATGAGCCGCTAAGCCCACTGCCTCCTGCCCTCCTGCACAGGTGTGGTGATGGGTGGGAGGGATGGGGTTAGTGCGTTGAGAGGAGGCATGTGAGGGATGAGGGTAGATCACCTATGAGGCGCCTCAAAAGGCCCTTGCATGTTGCAACCACTGCCTCCGGCTCCCGCCCTCGTGCAGAGGTGCAGTGATGGGTGGGAGGGAATGGGGAGAGGGGTGAGGAAGAAGCAGTGATGCCCCTCTGCCCATGTGTCAAGGTGCAGTGGAAAGAGGAGGGCATGGGAGAGATGTGAGGGGGGATAGGGGTGGGGGTGGGGTAGAGAGAGGGCAGGGAAAGGTGGAGAGACGAGGGGGTGGAGGAAAATAAACGAGGTCCTTAAACCCCATCGCAGGAACGAGGTCCGAGGCCTGTGTGAAGGAGGCAGGAAGAGCAGAAATGACATGTCGGTTGGTGCCTCCTTCACTCCTCCCACTTGTCCTTCCTCACCACAATTACATGTCCTTACGAGCCACTGCTGTGCGAGCGAGCATGTCGTTATGACAGACATGCGTTCCTCTACCCTGTTCCACATGCCATGTGTGCCTACCTGCGATTCTCACATGCCAGCGCCGTGTGCTCATACACTCCCTCCACCCCACACTCCCCCTGCCCCACCTCTCTTCCCCTCATCCATTTCCTGCTGACTCTTCCTGCAGTCATGTTGAAGCGTTCTCCACCAATGGCGCGCTGACAGCTGGCATCTCTTACCACAGGGCGTTCCTCAGGGGGCTGTGGCGGTTCGGCCGCCCGGTACCCGTGCCGCACAGGGTGCTCGTGTTGTGGGCGGGAAAGGACAAATACGCCCGCCCGCACATGGCGCAGCCACCTCCCGCCCTTGTGCCCAACGCGCAAGTGGTGCATTTTCCCGAGGTAAGGTGCACACCGTTCTCTTCCCGACCTGCTCACTCTTTATTATGAGGTGCACAAACCACCACCACTCTTCTAAGTACTGTACTGAATACGCTGTTCTTCCAGAGCTGCTCTCACCGCCACCACCACCACGGCATGCATGCATGCTGCTCTTTCCGATGTACGTGGATGTACGTGCATGCAGCACCGCTCCCTTCCAATGCACACGCTGCCCCTCCTCGTCACCCTCTCCCTGGTTGTTGCACTCATCCGTCCACCATGGCTTCCTCTTCTCTCTCTTCTGGCGTAACATGCTGATTCTCGCCTGACGTTTTTGCCTGCCTATGTTTCTGCCGGTTGCTCCTGTGTGTGTTTGCTGTGCAGCTGACATATTGGATGGTGTGGGATGATCCAAACCAAGTGAATCACCACTTAATTTCATTCTTGTCATCAAATGATACTGGTAATGGAAAAGCAACGTTGTGATCAGAGTTGGGCTGGGTTCCACTATGACGAAGTAACGTCTCGTTGTCCATTTGTGTATCTGGTTCAAATTCTTGGTATAAACCATGCTTTAGGTGTTGCCATTGTGTACATCTATTCTATAGTGTAAGCTCTCTCTATAACCTAACAAATGTGTACTTCAATGAACTGCGCTCTTGAGACGAGCTGCGTTGCAGCCCTTGTAACGAGAATACGGCTGTTTCATACGGACAGAATGTCGCGAAGCCGTCAACGGGAAAGAACTAGCACCTACAGAAGTCGTTCTGACAATATCCGAGTGACGAGGTCGTAGGATGCGATAGAGCTGTTTGCCTGCGAGCCGATTAGAAGTGACCGTTCGCGCCATCTTGTTGTGGCTGGACGATCCTTCTGACGATCCACCTGACAATCCACCTGACAATCTACCTGGTGATTCACCTGACGACACACCTGGCAGCATCGTAGTCGCGCAGCAGAGATGCGCGTGAAGCGGCAGCGGGAGGTGCGGCGCCATGTGCGCTTCTACCGCACGAGCTGCGGCTTCCGCGAGCCGTTCAAGGCCGTCGCGGACGGCACGTTTCTGCACCACGTCACGCGCCTCCGCCTCTCGCCGCTCGCCACGTCACTTCCCAAGCTGCTCGGCTTTCCGACACGTGTCTACATCACACGGTGCGTGTCCACGTCACACGTGGGTCGCATCGCATCAACCTCTCACGGCCGGTATTAAGCTGCGCGCCGTCATGAGTTTCCACGTCAGAGGGGTGTGTGTCCAGATCATATGGTTCCACGTCACAGGGGTGTGTGTCCAGATCATACGGTTCCACGTCACAGGGGTGTGTGTCCAGATCATACGTTTCCACGTCACACTGTCCGTATCGCTGTCCGCTTCCCCGAGGCCTTTCAAACCTCCCACCCATCGTGATTCGCCGACCCTTCAACCCTTGCAAGACCCCTCTCAGGCTCTTGCGGTACCCCTTTCAACCCCTCGCAACCCCCTTTAAACTCCCGACACCGGAAGAGAGGATTCAAGCCTCAAACCCTCAACCCCAAACCCCGAACCCCGATACCCAAGCTCCAACCCTCCGTCTTTCGCCTTCTCTCCCCCGCCCACCCCCACGCCTCGTCTCTCTCTCTCTCTCTCTCTCTCTCTCTCTCTCTCTCTCTCTCTCTCTCTCTCTCTCCCTCTCCCTCGCCCTCTCTTCCACCTCGCCCCTCGAGATATGAGTGACTTTGTTGAGTCGTCCCAAAAAGTCACTCATATCATGTCTCTTTGCAGATCATGTCTCTTCGCATATCATGTCTCTTCGCATATCATGTCTCTTCGCAGATCATGTCTCTTCGCAGATCATGTCTCTTCGCAGATCATGTCTCTTCGCATATCATGTCTCTTCGCAGATCATGTCTCTTCGCATATCATGTCTCTTCGCATATCATGTCTCTTCGCAGATCATGCCTCTTCGCATATCATGTCTCTTCGCATCCCCTGCCCTCCCCCTCTTACCTCATCTCTCCCCCTCCCTCACTGCCCTCGATCCCTCTGAATTCCTCCCCCTCCCCTCCCCCCCTGGCAGGTGCATTCTGGCAGAGCTACAGCGCTAGGGGGGCGCGTTTTGAGGCGCCTCAAAAGGCGCGCAGGTGGCATTCTGGCGGAGCTGCAGCGCCGGGGGGACGCCGTCAATGCATCCTCTCCTCTCCTCTCCATCACAGGACATTCCGCCTGCCCCCCTCTCATCCCTCCCCCTCTTTCTCTCCCCACCCCCTCCGCGGGTGGCATTCTGGCAGAGCTGCAGCGCCGGGGGGACGCCGTCAAGGCCTCCTCTCCTCTCCTCTCCTCTCCTCTCCTATCCTCTCCTCTCCTCTCCTCTCCTCTCCTCTCCTCTCCTCTCCGTGGGGGGACTTTTTGCCACGGTCCCCCTCATCCCTCTCAGAGAGAGAGGGAGACGCCCCCGCTCTCATCTCCCTGCCTCACTGTGCTCCATCCGATCATCTCCCTGCCTCCCACCCCCCCGATGATCCTCTCCTCTCCTCAAAAGGCGCGCAGGTGGCACATTGGCAGAGCTACAGGGCTAGGTGAGCGCCTTTTGAGGCACTTTAAAAGGCGCGCAGGTGGCATTCTGGCGGAGCTGCAGCGCCCCGGGGACGCCGTTAATGCCTCCTCTCCTCTCCTCTCCATGACAGGACATTCCGCCTGCCCCCCTCTCATTCCCCCCCTCTTTCTGTCCCCCCCCCCTCCGCAGATGCACTCTGGCGGAGCTGCAGCGCCTGGGGGGCAGCTTTAATGCTTTTTCTCCTTGCTCTTCGTGGGAAGACTTGCTGATGGCCCCCATTGGAGCTTTTGAGTCGACTCAGAAGTCACCGGGCGGGCGGGGCGCCTTCAAGGACTTCTCTCCTCTTCCCATGACACGATGTTCCGCCTGCCCCCCTCTCATTCCCCCGCCCCTCACCTTTCCCCACCACCCAAACCCCCTCCCCCAACCCCCCCCCTTCCCGCAGGTGCATTTTGGCGGAGCTGCAGCGCCTGGAGGACGCCTTCAAGGACTTCCTTCCCTCCTCTCCATGCTGCTCTCCCTCTCTCCTCTCTTCACCGTCTGATCCTTCTCCCCCCCCCCCCCCCCCCCCCCTTCCCGCAGGTGCATTTTGGCGGAGCTGCAGCGCCTGGGGGATGCTTTCAAGGACACGCGCTTTGCTGCCCGCCAGCTGGAGGTCGCCAGGTATGCCACGTGGCAAGGATGCCTAGGTATGCCACGTGGCAAGGATGCCTAGGTATGCCTAAACAGGATCAGAGGGCATCAGAGCCCATCCAGCACCTCGTGGCAGGTGGTATCAGGTCAGGTGGTGGTAACCAGCATTCAGGTCAGGTGGTGGTAACCAGCATTCAGGTCAGGTGGTGGTAACCAGCATTCAGGTCAGGTGGTGGTAACCAGCATTCAGTAGCCATTCTCCCCATCATTCATCCCTCCGTTGCCCCCTCTCTCCCCTTTCAGGTGCACGCATGAGGGCGACGAGGCAGTGACGGCATCGGAGTGCATACAGCACCTCGTGGCGGGTGGTAACCAGCAGCACTTCTTCGTGGCCTCGCAGGACATTGAATTCAAGAAGCTTCTCAAGAAGGTTCGTCCGGGCCCATTTTCTAGTCAAAGATGGCACAGAGATGCCACGTGCAGCTCTTCTCCACGTGCAGCTCTTCTCCACGTGCAGCTCTTCTCCACGTGCAGCTCTTCTCCACGTGCAGCTCTTCTCCACGTGCAGCTCTTCTCCACGTGCAGCTCTTCTCTTCTCTTCTCTTCTCTTCGGGGGTTTCCCTCTTGGTTTGTCTTTTCAGTCATCTTAAAATTTAACATGCATGTTTTCTTCAGGTGCAGCTCTTCTCTTCGAATTTCCTTGTGCATGTTCGCTCTTCTCTTCGAATTTCCTTGTGCATGTTCGCTCTTCTCTTCGATGTCCCTCTCGGTTCGTAGTGTCAATTCACCAATTCCTGGCATTCCTGGTATTGAATCCAGAGACTCTTTGTGAATTATCCAGACGTTTGTGAAGTCTCCAGATGTCGCCAGTGCACTGCACATCCCATCCTCCTCGACCGTCCTTCCCCCCACCCTTAATCTTTTCCTTTTTTAACTCAAATCTCCACACATCCTTCCATTTCCATTCTTTTGCCCTTTTCTTTGTAAGAAACCTAAGGGTGTCTGATTTACTTCTTTTTCTTCTCGTAAGCAAGCACTGTCCCCACCCCCTTCTTGCCTCCTTCCCTGCACCCCACTCAACCCTCTCCTTCATTCCTCCCCACCCCACGCAGGTGCCAGCAGTGCCAATCATCTCAGCCAATGGGACGTCAATCTCCCTCGAGCCGCCCTCTCCTCTCGACCTCTCCCTTTCCAAGAAGTCCGAATCTGCCCGGCTCGGGCTGCCTGAACACGAGCAGCAGCAATTGCTGCTGGCGCGGGCAGCCAAGCGAAAGAAACGAATCGAGGAGACACAGAAAGGGCTTGTTCCTACAGTCGTCGACAGGACGAGGCAGCGAGGCGATGTTGGTGGGAGCGAGAGAAAAGCAGAAACGGGAGTAGAGGGAGGAGGCGAGGGGGAGGGTGTTTCTGGGAGTGAGGGAGAAGGGAGGGATGGGGCAGGTGGTGAAGGGGTGGAGGAGGGGGTCGGGGGGGCAGGAGGGGTAAATTCAAATGCAGATGCGTATGGGTATGGATATGATTCGGAGGAGGAGGGAGAGGAGAGGAAGCCGGAGTGGAAGCGGCTGGGGTATGTGAAGGACCGGGCCAAGTTCAAACGGAAGCGAGTGAAGGTGAGAATGCGGGTGCGAATGCGTATGCACATGGTATGGGTACGATTTGGAGGAGGGACATTAGTGAAAGCGTCTTGGGTATGTGAAGGACAGGGCCACGTTCAAATGGAAGCACGGTGAAGGTGAGAGTGTGAGTGTGAATGTGTGCGGAGATGGTTATGGGTTTGGTTATGGATTCTACGAGGAGGGTGAGGAGTGAAGCAGCTAGGATATGTGAAGGGCAGGGGCAGATTTAAGCAGAAACGAGTGTGAGAGGGAACGACGTGGTTTTACTAGTCTAGGCAAAAGTCGAGCCCGAGTGGAAACAAGGTGGGGTATGGGAAGCACTGGGGCAAGTTCAAACTGAAGCACTGGGGCAAGTTCAAACTGAAGCACTGGGGCAAGCTCAAACTGAAGCACTGGGGCAAGTTCAAACTGAAGCGGCTGATGCTGAGTGGTAGTGGAAATGAATGCAGTGAGAGAGTGAGTGAGGGACGAAGAGTATCTGTGTGAGGGTGTGAGGGGGGTATGGCCGCAAGGAACAGGAGACATGCTTGAACTCTTCCTACATTCTCACTGTCGCTGCACTCACTGTCGCTGGAAAAATTGTACGTCTTCTGATCTGATCCAGGCCCTTTCACACCACAGGGACCCACACTCTGAACCGCAACGCAAGCAGGTTTGTTGTGAGGCATCTGTTTTAAAGCGTTTCGAAACTCACCTGCTCCGTGCAAGAAGAAGGCCTGCTCAGCAGGAGGGACGGGGAGTGAAGGGAGGAGGCACGGCGATTTCCTAGTTGACATAAATATGTACTTCTTGTATACCGCACCCTTCCACACCACAGGGACCCAACCCTCTATCATGCAAGAAGAAGGCCCGCCCAGCAGGGGGAGTGGGGAGTGAAGGAAAGAGACAAGGGATGGATGGAGCAGGGCCGAAAAAGAGGCAGAGGAGACGGCGGAAGGGAGGCCAGGCGGCTGAAGGAGGTGCGGTGGATGGGAATGGTGGAGCCTCTGAATAGTAGTCAAACGCGCTTGTTGTTAAACTTAGGACGCGTCACATTTGAAAAACCGAGGAAGGATCTTGTGCAGGATCGGTGTTTCACTTGTGACGCGTCCTTATGTTCACTTGCAGAGAATACATGTTTTGCAGTGTTTGGCGTACCAATGCAAATCAAGCGCTTGTTGAAATAATAGCCTTTTTATCAGACTTGCACACCTTCTTCGAGTTGTTCGGGATTCGAGACATCTCAGAAATTCCTCGAGCTACTCCGAATCGAAACAAACCATTTCCGCTCCGCACCAATAATCGTGAGCTCGGGGTTTCCTCCGCGCGAGCCCACTGTTTGCCGTTTCGCCTCTCAAATCACTTGGTCTCTTCTCTCTGCCGTGGCGCCGCGAATTGCGCTCACGCACGTCTAGTGCCATGAAACTCGCCGCCATGCACTCATTCCGATCTTCGGTTTACTGCAAACGCAATTCTTTTAGTGACTTCTTTTGGAGCGTGTCGTCGCTCGCTGCTCCTTTGATCGAGTTTCGCGCTGGTCAGATTTCAGCAGTAATGGCGCGAACTGCCACAGAGCCTGGTAGAACGAGAGGATGATTTCTCGACAGACGAATTTTAAAACGATATTCGGTTAGCAACACCACGACACGAAGTTTCGCCCTAATCTGCTGCTGTGTTTCGCCACGAGACCTGCAGCGTAGTCGACAACGATTCCTGGATTTAGGTTAGCACTACCCTACCCATTCCCAGAGGCTGCAGCCATTTTTGTCTCTTCATTCTTGAAGGGCCTCAGAATTCGTCGCATTTCGGCTGAGCGCGGCTTTTCCAGCCCACTCGGAGAATGTCGGCGACGAGCGAAGCCGGAGGTACTGCGTGGGGCGTGTCTCCCACGGTGAAGTCCGTAATCATCGTCGGCGTCTCAGCATTCGTCGCAGTGATCGCTGTTTTCGTCATCGGATGTTTCGTCAACACCGTGCGATCGAGGAGAATACGAGCTGAATCCGCAGCCGCGGCAGCAGCAGCAGCAGCAGCAGCAGCAGCATCAGTCCATGCGATGGACGGGGCGGCAGCGACGGAGAATGCGAGCATGAAAGCTCAACCCGCGGGAGTGCCGTAGGAGGCTCTAAGGATATATGTTTCACGGTATCTTTTCGAGCACATGGTTTCTGCATTAAGCGGTAGGCCAAATATTCGTTTGCGGCGCATTCACCCGCATCGCCGCGAGCCTACTAAGTTCATAACATGAGAGCGACGCGAGAGTTCCGAAAAGGACGTGATTTGGTAGTACAGTGTTCCACATTTTGTACTCGATCACACTAGGCACATGCCATCACTAGGATTCGCCTTACACACGTGTACCAATGGTAGCTACGGTAGTATCAATCTTTTCTCTTTTATCAGATCAATGAATTGGAAAATATCAAGTTTCCTGTTTAAGAAATAAACTGGTTTTAGAAAATTTATACGTAATCTAAAAATTAATATACGTAAACAGAACGTGGGCGTTTGGTCTAGTGGTATGATTCTCGCTTCGGGTGCGAGAGGTCCCGAGTTCGATTCTCGGAACGCCCCTACCTTTTCGGTCACTGCTTTTGCCTCGCTCTCACTCAACCTCGCTGCAGCAGCTATAAAAAGCGCTAGAACGCTTCGTGATTAGTAGTTTGCCTCGCTCTCACTCAACCTCGCTGCAGCAGCTATAAAAAGCGCTAGAACGCTTCGTGATTAGTAGTTCGTCAAGCTGCTCACTCGAGCAAAGCAGCTAATCTCACTACTCTTCGCTTAGGAGCGAAATCAGCAACTTAGTACCTACATTTATACCCCTACGTGTGCGCCGCGTCTGGCTTTCCACAGGCGAAAACTTCGAGAAGCTATTGCGTGACTAGCTTGACAAAATCAGGTTCGCGCCAATATTGTGCAGCTGCTACCCCATGTGGGCGTCGCGTCTCGCTTGCCTCAGCTAGAGCTCCAGGATTTAACCGTGAGTCGTGCTGGATGACATTAGGTTTGCGGAGTTACCGTGCACCTGCTGCCTCACGTCGGTAGGTCACTGAGGGACTTCGTTACTACCAGCCACGGCCAGCAAGCTACTGTTGCAAGCGAGTGATTTCTACTTCGGTTCGGGTACCGGGTGCCAGCACGACGCGACCTCGTTATCTCAACACCTGCAGCACGATTTGGCTGTTTCCGCGTCCCACCTGTTCCGCAAACTGCATCACCCCTACCCACCTCCCAAATTTCCCTCCACTTCGCTACGTCTGCATCCTCGTTTTCATCGGCCCCAACTGTATTCCCAAATTCTACTCTCGAGACTCCGTACACTACACTACCTGACTACTACATCTCCTTTTCCCATCCTCTTCATACTTCCACATTTTGATCCGCACTCAATTCAGCGGCTTTCGTGTCACGCATCAACCTCCGCAGCTGCTCCTACTTTCCAGGCCTGCCACATTTTCCGCCTAGTCGGTTATTGCTACACTCTTCCACCACGCGGACTAAGTTTCCCTTCCCTATCCACCCATGACTTCCCGTAAGAGACACCGGCCCCCAGACCTCGCTGCAACAGCCCCGTCCCCGTCCACAACTCGCTCCCGCCCTTCCCCTTCTTTCGCTACTGTCCATGTTCCTCTTCCGCCAATCTTACCGCCACCCTCTTCTTCCAACCATCAGCAAACCTCACTTCAGCCCCCGCCTCCTTCTCCTACACACGCCTCTCGTCCTCACGATAAGCCTCCTCTTATCTCCCAGCAACAGAAGGACGCCCTTCACCAAGTCATTGCAGACGCCATGACTTCGGCGCGGCCATCCCATCCTTCGATGTCTCGCTCCACCTCTGCCCCTGCTCGAGACGCTCAATCAACGGACCATGCCACCCCACCTGCCACTGCCAACGATCAACACCCCCTCTCGCATTACACTGATGATCCTCCTCCTTTCCCTACCTCTCCCCCGCCCCCTTCTACTTCCACCGCAGCAGCTCCTCCCACCAATCCTCCTCCTCCTGCTGCCCGTTCTTTTTCCTGCCCTATATGCCACCGACCTTGCGCTAATGCCGGTGCCTTGACTCGTCATACCACTTCTTGCCAGCAAAACTCTACCGCACGTCAGCAAGCTGCATGTCCTCCTCCTCGCTCCGCCCCTCCTCGCGCTCAGCCTGCATCTGCGCAGGCCTCCACTCCGCCAGCAATCCCTTCTGCCACCTGGGATGCTGTCCTTGAGTGGGATTGGCCCGCTTTCTTCAGCCCGGTGGTTTCTCCCGGTCCCATCATCCGCCGCATCCCTCCTCGCATTCGCCTTCTTGTGCTTGACGCCATGCTTATCCCCCTTCGTCGGCTTGCACAGCATCCCTCTGACACTGCTGCGCATCTTATCCTGCTTGCGTTTCCGCGCCTCGTCCTCCGCCTAACTGCAGCTACCCCTTCGCAATCGCTTACCGCAGCATGTGCCCTTCTTGCTCAGCGCTTCATCAGTGGGGACTGGCATGCGCTTTTCCTTGAAGCCTCTGCCGCTGCCACCCCTGCTGCTCGCCCTCTCAACCTTGCTTCAGCACGCTCCACAGCCACGCAGGCTCGCCTCCATCGTGCCGCGCGATTTGCTAAGTGCGGCGACTGGTCTCGCTCCCTGGCAGCATTGGAAGCCGGCGAGTTCGCACCCCCCTCCTCGGAAACCATCTCCTCTCTCTCTTCCAAGCATCCACCAGCTCCGCAGCCTCTTCCTCATTGGATATCCACCTTCACCCCAGACTCTTACCCACAGCTTTCAGCCCCGCTCCTCCACCTGGCTCTTCGATCAGCCCCACGGGGTACCGCGGCTGGCCCTTCGGGTTGGTTGATTGAGCACCTCAGAGACACCTTCCTTACCTCCCAGCAGCACCTTCCCTCCCTCCTCCGCCTCTTCCAGAATTGGCTGCAGGCCGAGCTCCCACTCTCTGTCCGCTCCTATTACACTGCGTCTACTCTCGTCGCCCTTAAGAAGCCGCAGGGTGGGGTCCGGCCGATTGCTATTGGTGAAGTTCTCCCGCGCCTTCTTTCCCGCTGCATCACCCTCATGTTCAAGCAGCAAATGCGTGACACCTTCCTTCCATGCCTGCAGTTCGGGGTCGCGGTTCCTGCAGGCATAGAGGTGATGGCGCATGCCGTACAATCGGCCCTTTCCCTCCATCCTGATTGGGCGGTGCTTCAGCTTGACGTCGCTAACGCCTTCAACTCTTTCAACAGGATTGCCATGTTCGAGGCTCTCCGCTCCTCACCCTTCTCTCCTCTCATTCCCTACTTCAGCCTCTTCTACTCCTCCCCGTCTCCCCTTCACTACCGCAACGGCCCCACCCTCCATACATTCGAGTCCGCCTCGGGTGTGCGCCAGGGGGACCCCTGCGGTCCCTTTCTCTACGCCCTCACCCAGCAGCTTGCCATTCTTCCCACACAAAACCAGTTCCCATCCATCTTCATCTCCTCTTATGCTGACGACACCTTCCTCGTTGGCCCTCCTTCAATCATCACCACTGCCTTCACAGCCCTGACCGACCGCCTTCATTCCTTGGGCCTTACAGTCCAACCCTCGAAGTGTTCCATCTGGTGCCCTCTTGACTGGCCTCAGGGCTGCGCAACTCCTTCGGGTGTACCTATCGCTCCCAACGGCCTCAACGTTGCGGGGGTCCCGATTGGCTCGGACGGCTACATCATCTCCACAGTACAGGAGAAGCTCGCCTCATTTACTACCTCTCTTCCTCTTCTTCACCAGCTTCATGACCCTCAGACTGCCTCCCGCATCCTCTCCCAGTGCGTCTCAGCCCGTCCTTCCTTCCTCCTCCGGACTGTATCGCCATTCCCAGAGATTCATGACCTCTTCAGCTCTTGGGATTCTACCCTCTTGGACCATTTCACCCAGCTTTTTGGCCCCGGTTATTGGATCCCAGACACGGAACAGACAAAAACAGCGCAGCAGCAAGTCTTTCTTCCAATTCGCCTTGGGGGCTTTGGCCTTCGTTCCTCCGCCTCTACAGCACCTCTTAGTTACCTCTGCAGTTGGGCCCAGTCGCTTCCACTACTGTCCACTCACTTCATCACTGACGGCTCACCACTTTTCCGCCCCTTTCTCTCATCTGACACCATTCATCGCCTCGACGAGTTCATTCCAGCTGCTACTGCCATGCTCCCAAAAGAAGTTCGTGACCGTTTCCCTTCCTGGTCCCACCTCCTACCCGGCTATCCCCCCAAACTCTTCACTCATCTCTCACAGCAGCTTGAGGCTTCTTTGCTCGAAAAAGTCCGCTCGTCTGTCACTTCCCCACTTCGCCTGGCCCGTTTAACCTCCCTGCAGGGCCCGCATGCGGGGGATTGGCTTACTGCGGCTCCTTCTTCGCCTCAGTTGCAGCTCACTGAATCCGAATGGCGCATCGCTGCTGCTATCCGCCTTGGCCTCCCCATTCCTCACCTTAGCTCCGCTGAAACTTGCGCCTGTGGACATCCTTTCTCTGACTCCTCCCTCCCATCCCATGCCCTACGCTGCCCCAAGAACAACGAGCCTACCAGAGTGCATGACGCCATCAAACACGAACTGCACCGCATTATCTTGGAGCTTGGTCTCGTGTCGCAGTTGGAAGACCACCACCTCCTTCCAGGCCGCCGACCTGACATCACCTGCAGGGACCTCCAATCCGGCACCACCTTGGCTTTGGACGTTTCGGTAGCCGACTCGCAGCACGGCTTCCCCCACTCCAATGCTGCCACCGTCATTGGGTCAGCCGCAGCTACACGCGAGACTGAGAAGGCAACTCTGTACGCACCATCCCTGCACGCCCGTCCCGACGTCAAGTTACTTCCACTGGCGCTTGAGACTTTCGGGTGTTTTGGGAAGTCATTCCAGGATTTCCTCCGACACTGCAGTCGTCGTGGTGCTTCGCGTCTTCGCGATTTGAGCGGTTCATCTGACCTCATTCCACAACTCTTCGAGACCAGTTTTTACAAACGCATTTCCCTCGTCCACCAGCGTGAGCAGGCCCGCACAATCTGCAGGCGGGCACAGGTTCGATTCACAGTAGCGTCCAGCACTATCCCTTCGGAAGTTATTCCACCGTCGGCAGCGGACTTTGCGTACTTGGGGAATGATTACTGAAAGTGGTAGAGGGACTACTCCTGCTGCTTCCTTTGCACAGGCTCTTTTAGCTACCGTAGCTACCAGTCTAACCTCCTGACTCGTGTACTTTTGTACCCTTTATATTGTCAATAAAGCGGTATGATTCTCGCTTCGGGTGCGAGAGGTCCCGAGTTCGATTCTCGGAACGCCCCTACCTTTTCGGTCACTGCTTTTGCTTGAAGCCCTGAAACGAATGCGCGTTCAAAGAATCCCTGTCCCCTGTCCTTGCTTTTTGTAAGTAGTCGCGAAGAGCTTGTTAGTTTCACGTAGCGAATCTGTTTGTCGCTGGGAGCTTGGGAGACTAATACCAAATTGAACTCTGACGATCGAATATCCAAGTGACACTTCCTTTTCGCGAAAGTAACTCAATGAGGGCAGGGAAGGGGGTCGCACACAGCGGATCAGGTGAACGAGTGTGAGGCGTGGTATACCTCGAGAACAGGCAACACCTGGGGCAAATCGCGCCAGGCACAAATATACCTGCAGGCATAATACCTGCCACGAGAGCCGCACACAATTTTAGTATTCGTGTCGCAGGGTCAAGAATGATCAGTCTGGTCTGGAATCGCAGCTTACGTTTGATCGTCATCTTGCCGCCCGCTCTTTCAGCCTTGCGGGGACGGCGCTAGAGCAGGGAGACATCGGAGGGAACACGAGGGGATGAAAGCGACAGGCAACCATCACCTGCTTCGCGGGGAAACCCTTCCCCTCCTTCCCCAGGAAAGCCTTCGCTCGGGCGTATTGGCGCTCGCTTAGGATGACTCGTCGAAGCCCCCTTCCAATAATTTCGGCGGGGAAAACGTCGTTTCGGCAGCAACGTTGCTTGCCAGTTCGTGTCTCGAGATCTTTGCTATTGGCCTCGTGCGGTGCTAACTTCAGCCGCGTTTCGTTCGATTTTGTTGTCACTAGCAAGAAGGCGCGATGTACAAACGGCGACACCAATCACACACCAAGCAACCTCTGCGGCTTTACATTTCTTTGCTTCATACCGTTCCGATCTCAGACCGATTCTTGATCCGTAGCTGGAACCTTTGCCCGCCATGGCTCGTGCAACTCTCCTCTTCGTGAATGTTACAATCGCCATCGTCGTCATCTCTTCACTCATCTGCATGCCGCGCGCGCTCGCGGCTGATGACGGCTTGCCTGAGGTGGAAGTAGCAGCCAACAGAGCTGAAGTTCAGGATCTGGCGAAGTTTGCAGTGGCTGAGAATAACAAGCGAAAGGTATGTTACACCTGACTATGTTGAAACGTCGGTGGTAAGATAAAGTTGGATGGGTTATTTTGTGACAGGCAACAACAGCCACAGGTACTCCCACATCCCAGAGAGGAATTCTGCTTTGGAGGTGGTCCGATCTGTTACAATGGTGCTTCTTATTTTTATTCTTATATATTTTTGGTACAGAATCCACGGTACACAAGATTGCAGTACTCATTCTGTACCTTATCTTGCCCATCTATACTGATTACCCATGAACCTGACGCATCCTTTCACGCACGCACGCAAGCGCACACCCATTGACGTTCTGATGCAGGTGGAGCATCACACTCAGGCACTCACACCCGCTCACTCCTCTTCTTCTCTCTCTCCTCTCCCCTTCTCCCTCCTCTCCCTCTCTCCCCCTCTACCCCTCTCCCCCTCTACCTCTCTACCTCTCCCCCTCTCTCCCTCTCCCTATGCTATGGGAATTACAGGCAACAAACCTCCAGTTCGTGTTTGTGTCTTCAGCATCTCAAACGTTTGACAGTAAAACCAGAGCTACCAGGTGGAAGATTCTTCTGATCGCCGACAAGCCCGGCAAAGGCTTTCCTCCCACCAAGTTCCTGGCGACCGTAGTTGAAGTGAAAAAGATAAAATTCAGGGTTTTGATCTCGTTCGAGGAGCGGTAAATGAATTCTAACGCGGACAATGAAAAAGATAAAAGCGGTTAGTGATCCTGCACAACATGCATGGCTTGTGATATCTTGTTACAATGCAGTAGCGTGAACGAATATTATTATTGGTATATTCAAGAGAGAATGTTATGGTACACTTCGTCATGCGCTTGAGCATCATTGCGCTGAGGCGTGATCCGCTATTGTGAAGCTGTACACGTTCTTTCCAGTGCTTGCAGTATCGCAATAGAACAGAACACCCCCACCCCACTTTTCCGGAATCGAGACGAGAATTAGAAATCTCTCGCCCATCACATGCTCCTCCCGCGTATTTGCCACGCTGCCCCTGTTTTCCTTCCAGGTTTCCAGCTTTCCTGTCGTGAGCACCACACCCAGCCTTATCCACGTGTTTTCTCCTCGTACCCGCCTCGCAATTTCCACGCTTCGCACATCCAACCCCGCTCCTCACTCTCCGCGCACTCCGCTTTGCGCATTGCGCACTCCGCATTTTCCGAGATGGCATCCGCCGCGCTTCTCCGCCTGGCCCCCCTCGCGTGCCTTCCAAACGCCTTTCCTCTCGCGCAAGGCCCCGCGTCATCTCGCCGTCTCTCGCTGGGGAAGGCCGCGGGAACGACGAGACGCAGCACGCGGGGAGGTATCTCATCTCATCTGCAGCGTACGTCCTCGTTAGAAGCCTTCTACGCCTCTGAGAGCAACGCCGTTCCTCGTTAGAAGAGCAACGCCGTTCCTCGTTAGAAGAGCAACGCCGTTTCTCGTTAGAAGAGCAACGCCGCTCCTCGTCTTCCTCGTTTCAACGCCCCTCCTTGCCAGCTTGCAGCATTCGGCGAGCGCACTCTCTTTTGCTCCTTTCCCCGCCGCGCTTTATCGTTGCCCCTCCTTCCGCCCCGCTCCTTCTGCCCCGCTTCCTCTCGGCCAACTTCAACGTTGCCCTTCCGCCCTTCCGCCCTTCCGCCATTCCGCCCTTCCGTCCTTCCGCTCTTCTTCCTTTCCGCCTTTCTGCCTTTCCGCCCTTCCTCACTTCCGCCCTTCTGCCCTCTCCTATCTGACGCCTTCCCCTCCCCCCTTGCGCGCAGGCCTGCGCGTGCGCGCGGAGCAAGGAAGGCGGGCGGGGGAGACAGAGCAGCGCAGCGCAGCGGGGGAGGAGGAATCGCGGAATGAGCTCCGCCTCATGTCCGTTGCGCCCATGCCCGTCGCCGCCCTTGCCGCTGGTAGGCTAAAGGGGAAAAGGGGGGAGGGGGGAAGGGAGGGAGGGGCGGAAAAGGGGAGGGGGGAGAGGGGGAGCGCGGGTGGCGGGAGTGGGGAGGGGGGAAGAGGGGGAGGGTGGGGAGGAGGGGAGGGGGGGAGGGTGGGAGGAGGGGAATGGGGTAAATGGGAGGCTTGCAGCTGGTAAGCCAGGAAGGAAGGTGAGTCGTAGAGTGAGAACGGGAAGTACGCAAGGAAGGCGATGCATAGAGTCAGTGCGCAGAGGGAACGGATGGGAGAGGGTAGAAGGGGAGGCAATGCTGGTACAGCGAGGGAGATGGAGGGGATGTGCAGATTAATTTCTGTTCTCTCACTTTTGTTCTCTCTTCTATTCCACTCTTTCCCTGATTCTGCGCACCCATGAGATCTTACAGGAAAGTTCTCCCTCACTTCATGCAAAGCAAACCTCGGTTCCCGCCAACCCCATCACTTCCTGTTATTCACCATTCCTCTTGGCAACCTCTCTTCATAACCCCTCGGTCCCCCAGCCACCAAATCTCCTGCTTGCCTTCCCTTTCCCCCCCATCTATCTTTCCACCCTTCCCCCCTCGCCCCCCCACTCTCCCCCTTCCTTTTTCCTCCTCCCCTCCACTCTCCCCCTCCCTTTCCCCCCCCCTCTCTTCTTTCCCCCTCTCCATTTCCCCCCTCCCCAATCGCCCAGCTGACGCCTTGAGAGAGCTGTTAGAGCCGTATGGGGAGTTGGTGCGTTCCTGGAATCTTCCTGACTGGCTCATCCACTGGGGGCATCCCGGCAACATGGTGAGATGTGATGTGCACATGGTGAGATGTGATGTGCACATAGTGACATGTGATGTGCACATGGTGACATGTGATGTGCACTTGGTGACATGTGATGTGCACATGGTGACATGTGATGTGCACATGGTGACATGTGATGTGCACATGGTGACATGTAATGTGCACATGGTGACATGTGATGTGCACATGGTGACATGTGATGTGCACATGATATCTACCCAGCCTTTCATTGCTTGCTCAATCTCATGCCATGTGTCATGTGTTCCCATCATGTGCTGCCACGTGGCGTGCAGGCAGTGGTTCTTCTAGCCATGGGGGGATACGGCTCCTACCTGGGATGGCAGATTCGCCTCGCCTCGTCACCTGTGAGCTATGTGGCAGGGGTGAGAGAGGAATATTGGAGGAAGGGGGTGGGGAGAGAGGGGAGGGGGGAGAGAAGGTGGGGGGCTGTTGGGACGGTTGAAAGCAAGGGGGGCTTCAGGTACGGCTCCTACCCGTCATGGCCTTCATCTTTCTCTTCTCTTCCTTTCTCCATGTGCTCCCGTGCTCCCGTTGCTCCCGTTGCTCCCGTTGCTCCCGTTTCTCCCGTTTCTCCACGTGCTCCGTGGTTTAGGAGGCCAAGGCAGCAGCGCGGGCAGCCCACCCGCCCATCATGGGCTTCATGTTTCTCTTCTTCGCCATCGGTGCCACTGGTGGGCTCACCTCCCTTGTCACCACCGGCCGACCCATCTTTGAAAGGTGAGGGGAGGAGGAAAGTGAGAGGGGAAGGAAGGTGTGGGATGGTGAGTGTGCATGTGTGGGATGGTGAGTGTGCATGTGTGGGATGGTGAGTGTGCATGTGTGGGATGGTGAGTGTGCATGTGTGGGATGGTGAGTGTGCATGTGTGGGATGGTGAGTGTGCATGTGTGGGATGGTGAGTGTGCATGTGTGGGATGGTGAGTGTGCATGTGTGGGATGGTGAGTGTGCATGTGTGGGATGGTGAGTGTGCATGTGTGGGATGGTGAGTGTGCATGTGTGGGATGGTGAGTGTGCATGTGTGGGATGGTGAGTGTGCATGTGTGGGGGCCACTAGCAGGCTCACCTCTCTCGTCACCACCGGCCGGCCCATGTTTGAAAGGTGAGGGGTGGAGGAGGGTGAGTGAGGGATGCTGAACGGTTTGTTGCTGTGTGAGCGGTTTGCTTCCATGATTCCCCCGGCAGACTCACCACTCTCGTCACCATCATCAGCCCGCCTCTTTCTTCCACTCTCTTACTGCCTCTTTCTTCCACTCTCTTATTGCCTCTTTCTTCCACTCTCTTATTGCCCCTTTCTTCCACTCTCTTACTGCCTCTCTCTCTGCCTCCTTCCGTCCTGTTTCATTCAACTATTCATATTATTTATTGTTTATTACTTTTTATTCGTTAAATCTATCATTGATCATTTATTGATTTTTTTACTCAAATGTTGTTCCATGAGGCACTCGCCCATACTCAGGCATGGCTGATATTGTGCTGCTCATCCATCGGACGGACTTTCCAGCAGGGTCACAATATTATTCCCAATCCCAATAATATAGTGAAGGGCGTTTCTTCACTTATTCCCAATGCCATGCAGCCCCCATGCTTACTCAGGCATGGCTGGTCTCGTGCTGCTCACCATTCAGACTGCAATGACTGCCCTCTTCAAGGTGGGTCACCTGCAATGACTGCTCTCTTCAAGGTGGGTCACCTGCAATGACTGCTCTCTTCAAGGTGGGTCACCTGCAATGACTGCTCTCTTCAAGGTGGGTCACCTGCAATGACTGCTCTCTTCAAGGTGGGTCACCTGCAATGACTGCCCTCTTCAAGGTGGGTCAACTGCAATGACTGCCCTCTTCAAGGTGGGTCACCTGCAATGACTGCTCTCTTCAAGGTGGGTCACCTGCAATGACTGCTCTCTTCAAGGTGGGTCACCTGCAATGACTGCTCTCTTCAAGGTGGGTCACCTGCAATGACCGCTCTCTGTAAAATGCTCATTCCCGCTGCAAAATGCTCGCAGCTCAGAGAGTATGTCACAACTGCCCACTGCCGAGTATGTATTGAAATCACTTTTGAGAATTCTCAAAAGTGATTTCAATATAGCTGACCTACGATTCCCTCTTTATTTGACATGTTGGAAGTTACCTGCGCGGTTACAACACCGACTAGTAAGGGCTCGCTTCACTACAGCGGTAAGGGCTCGCTTCACTACAGCGGTAAGGGCTCGCTTCACTACAGCGGTAAGGGCTCGCTTCACTACAGCGGTAAGGGCTCGCTTCACTACAGCGGTAAGGGCTCGCTTCACTACAGCGGTAAGGGCTCGCTTCACTACAGCGGTAAGGGCTCGCTTCACTACAGCGGTAAGGGCTCGCTTCACTACAGCGGTAAGGGCTCGCTTCACTACAGCGGTAAGGGCTCGCTTCACTACAGCGGTAAGGGCTCGCTTCACTACAGCGGTAAGGGCTCGCTTCACTACAGCGGTAAGGGCTCGCTTCACTACAGCGGTAAGGGCTCGCTTCACTACAGCGGTAAGGGCTCGCTTCACCTAGTGTCGAGGATTGGAAGTCCCTTTGACCTTCGGGACTATTTGTCCGCGCTGGCAAGGGTAATCCGACTTGCGGTTCGGGTAGATTACACCTGGAGTTGTCTAGACCTCGGGGAATTCGGGGAAGTTAGAGGATAACGGGAAATGGGTAGAAAAGGGGTTAGAGTAGTCTTTCATTCTGTAATCCCACGGCGCTGACGAAGGCCCCACGGCCGAAATGCGTACGCCTACGCTCTTTACTGAAGTTGGACATACTAAGTCCTGATTCTACTTTTTTCCCACTCTAAGTACCCCAAGCGGTTAGTTAAAAATTCAGAGGAGACCACTCCGCTGCTGCGGTTCGAATCCACATCTTCTTGCGCATTCCCGCTGCAAAATGCTCGCAGCTCAGAGAGTATGTCACGGCTGCTCACTGCCGAGTATGTGTGCCGTTTTGCGTGCACTCTTGCTCACTGCCATGCTCTGCTCACCCCCACCGCTCACCACTCACACTATCACGACTGTCCTCTTCGACATAAGTGGGCTGCTTGTTGCTCAATGTGGTCTACACACACCGCATTACAGTCCCTACTGTTAGGGTTGGTTCGCCCAACCACGGAACCTATGGCGAAAGTCTCTTCGACGGCGGAATGACGGCGAAATGGAAGCGCGTGGATGATTCTAGGTGAAACGGTGGAAATCGGCCTACGGCGTGAGAAGGGAGAGAGAAATCGAGAAGGAATGTGTGAGAAGGCTGAAGAAGCATCGAGATTGAAGTTGACTAGGGGAAATTGTGGTTCGAGCTCGAGGTGTGTTCGAGAAGATTCCAGATTCGGTCTTGAGGAGTGTTCACCGAATTCGGTTCGATTGCGTGTGCGACTCGATGTGAAACGAAGCGCACGCGGTTACTTGGGAAACAAGTGAAGTTACGAATCGCATTTTGTACCTTGGTTGATTATAAAACTGCTTGTACTCATTCTGGAAATTACAACATTGAAACCAATCAGATTCAAAAAATTGTTGAAGTGTGTATTGACAACTTCAAGCAGAGCTGTGCACACCATTGGATCCGGGAGATCGTGGAGAACACGATAAGCGATAGCAAGTAGACTATTGCCGGCTAAGGCGTTTACGATCCTAAGAACTGGTATCAGAGCTTGGCGAACGGGTGCGTCGATCGTCGTGAGATTCACTTGGTGCGCTAAGTGAAATTAGTGGAGAAGAGGAGTTGTTCACGCCTATGCCATGGGAGACGAGGCGAGTTCGGGTTCCAGTTTGAGTCTTGGAAACCCGCAGTTGAAGACTCTTCTCGAGGCCCTTGCGAATGGCCGATTGGTGGCGAAACCGACGATCGGGCTCAGTGAAGCTCAGCGTTTCAACGGGAGCAACTACAACGTGTGGCGGAATAAGATTCATTCGAAGGGCAGAGGAGGTGGACCTCTTGCCGTACTACCGTCCCGACGAGGAGACGATAGAGGGAGTTGCGCCTTCCATGACGGATACGAAGGAGAAAATAGCGGCATTCAAAAGGCAGAGTAAGCAAGCGTTCTTTCAGCTTTGTCACTCAGTTGCCGATGGAATCGCGGTGGATTTGGACCAGTTTGCAGGGGAGCTGAACCCTGCACAGCGAGCGTGGGAATACCTGGAGTCGACGTACATGGGTACGAACGATGTCAACAAGAAGGCGATTCGGAAGTAGCTGCTGATGCTGAGAATGGAGAAAGGCAAGAAAATCATCACCTACATCAACAGGACGAAAAGCTACATTGACGATTTGCGGGTGATGGGAGCCGCGGAGACGGAGCATGAGATGATTGACTATATCATCCAAGGCCTTCCTAAGGAGTAGGAATCCGACATCGGTATGTTTAGTACCAACCGCCGGAAAGTTTGATGAAGCTGCAGGAGATTCTGCAGTCGCTTGAGCTGGTTGAGGAGATGAGAAAGAAGAAAGCAGCAGTAGTAGCTAAGGAATTTGACGAGGAGAGGCCCGCTTTTGTGAATGCCACGAAGGCGTTTGAAGCATGCTACCAGTGTGGAAAAAGGGGGCATAAGGCGATAAATTGCTACGAGAACCCGCGAAGCAGAAACTATAAGGGCAAAGCAATGGAGAACGAGAAAGGAGAAAATGAGGGAGCGGAGTGGCAGCAGAAACGAGGTTTTGGCGGCAAGTGCGATTATTGTGGGCGCTACGGACATCGTGCCGCAGAGTGCTACTCCAATCCGAATAGCAGGAGCTACAAGGGACCGTCGCAGCAGAGGATTGTGGCGGGTAAGGCGAATGTAGCGGAAGCGGAAAATGAGGATGTGATTTTGGGAGGAGCGCATTTTGGGAGGAGCGCATCTTGCGAACGTGGTGCGATTACCGAAGGAGGTTCTGCAGACGAACGATCGTGAGAAGACGACATGGTTCATGGACAGCGGATGCACGCGTCACATGACGTTCAGGTCAGATTGGATGGAGAATGTGAGGGAGTCGAGTGAGTGTTACATACTGCAAGGCAACAGTGGGAAGTTGCCAGTGTCAGGAGAGGGCGACGTGGTGTTACAGAGCCCGTATGGAGAGATGAAATTGGAGAGTGTGCTCTTGGTTGAAGATTTGAAGGTGAATTTGGTCAGTCAATCACAGCTTGATGAGTTGGGGTGCAAAATATTTTATGACAGTGGTGAGGTCACTGTGTTTGGTCCTGAGTGGGAGGTATGCTGATGGTTACTTCAGTGATGGGTTCTATTAGATGAACTTGATCGCGATGAACGACATGGATGAGTTTTATGAGGACCCTGAGTATACTGAGATGGGAGAATTGGAGAAGTTATCGAATGAGGATGATGAGAGTGAGGTCTCGAAGGATACGGTAGCAAGTGTCGAGGCAACAGTGAAGTAGGAAGAGGAGATAGTGATCACGGATGTGACGAAAGTGAACGATGGAGATGGAGACGGTGTCAACACTTTTGCAGCAACGATCGTGATTGAAGATGAAGCAGTAAATGCAAAGTGTGTGGGAGCTGAAGCTGTGAAATTGGGCATCATGGTGAAAGGATCAAAGGCGAATGCAACTGCAAAAGGGCGAGTGCTTACGAAGGAGGAACGCGTTAAGGAATGCGGGACTCGAGATGTGTTGGGTGTTGAGATGCCGAGGAGCAGCGAGAGGCTAAAGAAAATGTTACATGGATTGGATGTCAAGGCGCTCAACTTCAAGACACGTAAGGAGAGGTTCAAGGTGCAGGAGCTGCAGGGGAGCGTGAAGCCGACCTAGACCCTGTGAAGACTACGAGGAACAGGGGAGGAGTGCGAGTGGAGTTAGTGGTTGACGAACTACGGGGGAGATTGTTAGGGTTGGTTCGCCCAACTACGGAACCTATGGCGAAAGTCTCTACGACGGCGGAATGACGGCGAAATGGAAGCGCATGGATGATTCTAGGTGAAACGGTGGAAATCGGCCTACGGCGTGAGAAGGGAGAGAGAAATCGAGAAGGAATGTGTGAGAAGGCTGAAGAAGCATCGAGATTGAAGTTGACTTGGGGAAATTGTGGTTTGAGCTCGAGGCGTGTTCGAGAAGGTTCCAGATTCGGTCTTGAGGAGTGTTCACCGAATCCGGTTCGGTTGCGTGTGCGATTTGGGGTGAAATGAAGCGCACGTGGTTACTTTGAAAACAAGTGAAGTTACGAATCGCATTTTGTACTTTGGTTGACTATAAAACTGCTTGTAGTCATTCTGGAAATTACAACATTGAAATCAATCAGATTCAAAAAATCGTTGAAGTGTGTATTGACAACTTCAAGCAGAGCTGTGCATACCATTGGACCCGGGAGATCGTGGAGAACACGATAAACGATAGCAAATAGACTATTGTCGGCAAGGCGTTTACGATCCTAAGACCTACAAATCCATCCATGAGCTCCATTGCTAGATACAATATGGATGAACTCTGCCCCTCGCATGTCTCTGTTTCTTTATCCCGTGTTCCTCCCCATCTCTGTTTCTATACCCCATCTAACCCCATCAAGTCCATCTTTTTCTTCCCCACTCCTCCAGGGCAATCCTGACCTGCGGGGTGTGCATGGCTATTTGGGGATTCTTATTATGGTGCTTTTTGTTGCTCATGGGCTTCTCGGGCTTCAGCTGGGCCTAAGTTATTAGGGTAC